TATATATATATATATATATATATATATATATATACAGGGTGTATCAAAATAAACGCAATTCATCTTTTGTGCTTAATAACGTTCGAAATACTATTTCTAGTTAAACGCTTTTTGGCTTACTTCAAAGCCTGTTCTTTTTTCTTTCAAACAAACTATTATCCTTGTCTCCAATGCTAGTAATAATTGCACAGGAAAAGATTTAGTAAAACCTATCATTTTTAGTTGCTGTTTAATTATGCAAGTTTACTATGTTATTGTTTGGTCGGTTTAAATGTTAGAATTTTCTTCTTTAAACTTTAATATTGTCGTCACTACATCTGGAAAACCACGTAAGAACAAATTAAAAGTATTTTAAAAGAGACCAGGTTGTTTGAAAATCCTAAACGAATGCTAAAAATCGTCAAAACATTCTGGTGTCTGAGCCAGAGTGTCATCGAATTACGATGTAATGTAAACAGAAATTATAGCAAGTTGATGTCAGTCAGCTTAGATGGTCCAAGCCAAAATTATATCGCATTTGAAGTTTCAAACTGAGTTAAAATAGTGGAAGAAAAGCCGTAATTATACTTATTGTTACAATCCATTTAATAAAATGCAACATTTGTTTGTTTTAATGAAAAAATCAGTTATTTTCATGAGAACGATTTGTTATTCCATCTCAATTTTTTTAATCTCCAATCGCAATAACGTAAAGTATTATTATCCGCGAACCAATGAGTCAAATTTAAGAAACAACCCACTGTTAGAAAGCTGAATGGCCACGCTTTAAAATGAATGTAAACTTTAACGTTTTCGTCTATTATTTGTTTAGCAATTTACATTTCAGTCGAGGATTGCGCTTTTTTTGACACACCCTGTATATATATATATATATATATATATATATATATATATATATATATATATATATATATATATATATATATATATATATATATATATATATAATTATATAAGTATAATCTAGCTCAATTACCTAATTATATGAGCATAATCTAGCTCAATTACCTATCTTTTAATGTCACTTTGCAGTTTTTGTCACCTGAATCAAAGAAATTGTACAACAAATTCACCCCGAAACGGTTGAAGGCGTTTGACATGGTATGGAAAACTTACAAAGTTTATCATTTTAATTATTTGGCAACGATATATAGGTACTCTCTCTGACAAGCTAAATCGTCTGGCTATATAGACAGATTATAATTCTCTAACGTTAGACAAACCATTCCCTCATCATAGTTAAATAAACATTTAGTGTTGTTTGCAACTGTGCATGGTGTATTAATGGCACAATTGAAAACTTTGTTCGTTATAAACCACGTCTTATAAAATTTTGTTTCTGAGTTATAGTTCCGCACTGCAACATTGAATGCCTTAACATTGAATGGTTTAACTATATTTTTCTCTTTAGTTCGATTTTACCTGCTGCAGTTTCTTCTTCTAGTGTATTTGTATCCACACCCATTACCCACATACAAGTAGAAAATAATTGAGCCACACAGGAACCAGTCCCAGCAACCATGGTTTTCACGATCGTAGGCGGAACTCACTGGAAATATTGTATCGTATTTATAAAACCTGGATTGCAGCGCTTTGTTCGATTCCCTTATATCAAGTAGTTCTCCACCCAAAATGTGAGAAATATTCGAACAACGTCACATGCACAATCTGTCATCGATCATCCAGTCATTTAGTAAGGACAAATCGCACATTGCGCAACTTATAGTGTAACATTGAAAAATATAGGAATAACGTTGGATTTGGATACATTACTTTATTTTATTTTCTAATTCGACCACCTTTTATCAAACAGGTATTAATCAAACTCCCATTCCCAGAAATAGTGAAGTGAACCCGAAAAGGAAACTGCAATTCGCGCAAGGAGCATTTGGAGTTATGAACGAAAGCACTGAAAGTGAAGGCATTTTTCATGATACGATTTAATCCGATGAAAAATCGGTGAATATAGAATATAACATGCAAATAACAGCTTCCTCATCCGCAGGAAACAAAAGAATCCAGCAGCGAGAGGACCGTCCTTGTGGAGACGACGAAGAAATCGTTGGAGAAAACTGGGTACAATGTGACGATTGCGGACAGTGGTATCATCATCTGTAAGTATATTTTTAACTCCCTATATGTTTATTCTGTGTTGACAAATTGCACATAAAAACCGTATACATACAGATACCATATAGCAATTAGCTAAATACATATCGTGGGTGTATTTCTACAAGTAATCTTTATTTATATTTCAGGAAATGCACGAATTTAGAGAAAATTCCGCCGAAAAAACAGAAGTGGTTCTGCAGTGAAAAATGTACACAACAAATAAAGGAAAAGAGATCCAAACAGCGGAAATAAAGAATTGACAGTTTTAAATGTATATAACTGACATATAACCTTTGCTAGAAACGTTAAAACGCTATACATAATATCTTGGCAGTGCAGGACCTTTAGGCCCCGTTTACACTATACCGGATAGCTTTCCGTAGCGGCGCGGAAAATCACCTATCCGATACCAAATGTACAACTTTCAGAAGCTGATTTACAGTCGTGCCAATAGAAGTGTTCCGAAAAATGTTGACCAGTTCATTTCCTATAACTTCGAGGAGTTCCTCCGAACAATTCCTCAACAATTTGATAAGTTCCTTAAAAAGTTCCTAACTTCCTGTTTCATTGACCAATCAGATTGCTCAAAAATAAAATATAAAATTTGATTGGTCAATGAAACAGGAAGTTAGGAACTTTTTAAGGAACTTATCAAATTGTTGAGGAATTCATGTTCGGAGGAACTCCTCGAAGTTAGGAAATGAACTGGTCAACATTTTTCGGAACACTTCTATTGGCACGACTGTAAGCTGCGCGAAATAATGTTCGCTCCCCGTTGCAATAATTGTCTGAAAATAGCGTTCCTAAAAGGTACGTATAGGTGCTTTTTCACGTCACAACGGATATCAACGTATACTATAAACGTATCCTTATATATTCTGATGAAAGGATTCGGATTAGACTTTTGTAGTTTATGACATGTACTGGATAATCTTTGTATTTAACACCAAAACTAAAATCATTCCTGCACACATTATAAACTGAAATAACTTCGTAAAGCTCTCAAAGGTATGTTTACACGCTGCGATTTGTCGTGTACGATGCGATGCGCATTATAGCGTATGACTGCAAATTACTGCTGACGCCACCATTCCTCTTCATTCTGTTTATGGCGAAATTTGAAATACAAACACTTTACGCGTTCTTATTCTATTACATACGCCAGAATACGAATCATACCCGACAAAACGCAGCCTGTAAACGTATATATATATACACTGTAAATTTCAAGGAGTTGAATCAACTCAAGCCAAAATGGTCTAAAACGATTACAGAATAACACTTTTGGAGTTGATTAGACTCCTTGAAATTTACAGTATATATATATATATATATATATATATATATATATATATATATATATATATATATATATATATATATATATATATATATATATATATATATATATATATGCCAACTATGCTGCGCACATTATTTTTTTTCAACAACAAGTTTATGATATGGGCCTAGAACTAATTTCTCATCTTCTCTTACACGACTGAGCATCTTGGTGGTGAGATATTCCACAATCTTCTCATTGTGGTAGTAGTCCATGAGGTAATTGTAATGGAAATGAACCAAAAATTTTTGCATCGTGGAGCTCCTAAGGCGTAAAAAATTTTTTCTATTGTTTTCGCTCTCCTGATAACTCGTCTTAATGGCATTCTTCTGTTCACATAAATCCAAGTCATGAAATCTGCATAGAGGCGATTTGTGGGGATTTGTCGAGGAGTGAAATCTATCCCCCACAACATAGCGATGTCTATGACCAGTCACAGGGTGTTCCCACTCTTGAAGCTCTTGCTCGTCCTTATACTCCATTCTACTAGATTGAAATTCCAGTGGCACAAGGTGAGGAACGCTAACCTTGATAAAAAAGTAATTTTCAGTTAACGCGAAATTCAACAAATCAAAATGGTGCCTTTACAGATTTAAGTGAACAAAATACGGACTTTTCGAGCGGAGGCATACATCAGGGTAAAACGTTGGAATAGCATTTCGTCTTAAAACGCGAATTACAAAATAATTGAAACTGCAACATTTTTTCAAAGGAAGTTGTCGATGTGTTATCGAGATTGACATTATGTTCTGTTGTATACGTGAAATGTCTGCGAATTTTATGAATAGATTTCACGAAACATCGTAGACAGACAAACTAAAACTAATTCATGACTATCATCACACGAAACTCCGAAAAACAGGGAGTTGCTTTCCCGGCATCTTGTCACGCAAATTCGACACTGTGCCATACAGTATGATCAAATATATAAATGGCTTTAAAATATCTTGCCCAGAACTGAAGAAACATTCCATGGCAAGAGGGAATCACCACGCAAATCCCTCGAAAAATGCCACCGTCATTTGTATGTGATTTAGTTAACAAAGAAGCAATATTTTCAGAAACATGTAATGTACGTATAATGGTGTGAAATGTTCCAATATCAACTATTCTGCAAAAGACAATACCTGGGATGGACACTTGTTTAACTCTTTCCCGACAGGTCCCTATTAAGTAAATCACTCATGATTTACGACTTTGCAGGGTCATATCGTCAGTTGGGTGCATGCTATGTAGATGAAAATACCACCATTCGATTCAGTGAAACAATATCTCCTATACCTGTCGATAGTTTTAGTCAAATATAATTTTAGTGAAATTGTATAACAATTTATGACCTTTCGACAGATCAAGCGGTGTCATATTTCATTACATTAATCAATTGTCTCGAACAATGTAAACTATCAATACCTTTTGCCGAACATAACTTCGGCCCCTTTTGAGATATCGTTTTCGCTATAGTCTTATTCGAAACAGAATCAAAAACACTATTGAAAGTGTTATTTTCAAGCTTGTAGCCTTAGTTTTTCGTCTTTTATTTCGGTATTTCAATCTGTTGCGAAACTAATGAAATCAGCGGGATATTTTTAACCGGAAATACATTTTAGATCTGCCAAAACATCGCGTGTTTACATCCTAGCGTTCGGAAAACATCGGAAATCGATTCTAAAGATCAAATTACATCTGAAGCATGCTTTTCACGTGCACTGGGCTACGGGAGACCCCTTATTGGCCAATTTTACATGCAGCACGCACGTGCGAGTAAAAACCCGATATTTTGAAAAAAACAAAATAAACATTTCTACTTGCCGTATTCAAATGAAACTTTCTACATAAAAGCGCTTGAATACAAGGAATATTTCACTAACATTAACTTGCGGCGAATACTGAAGAGTTTAGAAAATATTCAACATTTTCTCCATATGAAAATACAGAATGTTTGGCCAAGCGGTGAGTAAATATATGATTGTTTCGGTTTGTGTATTTGTTTTGATGGCATTAGACCCCCCGATGAAAAGCTTATTTTGTTAAGATTCCAATGGTGTTCTTTGTTTTTAAGGGGGGTGAATACGCACTGAAATATTTACGTTATAAAACAGTTGAATCAAAATATTGCTTGCCGTGAAAAATGTCACATGTCGAGAAAGAGTTAAGCTTGGTGGTTCGAAACATCCAACGTTATCTCCCCAAAGATATTTCGTAACATTCGGCGCTCGAATATCAAGATGCCTTGAAAAAGTGCATGGCGTATCATTCACGAAAAGCGTCGGTGGGTATTTCAGGGAAAGATATATGTCCGCTGCATCCCGAACAGACTCTTGAAGCATCAAGAACTTTGATCCAACTGTTGTCTTAAATGTAATAAAAAATTCGAGTTTACATGTACAGTACATGTGCCTGTGCAAACAAATATTAAAATGAAATGTTATATGTCTTATAATCATGTGAATTTAGCTGAAAAGAGAACGTCATACAATACCCCATGGCGGCAAACAAAATGATAGAATCCCCCAGTATGTCCGCTAACTTTCGTAAATTTGTGACATGGAGAGGTGCCAACCAATAATGTTGCATACAGCGATCGAAGCTCAGCAACCATTAGACCCTTAATTAAAAAATAAATAAATTATATAACTATAACTCCATTATATAACTATACACTGGATTTAATGATCAGGTTTGTGCATAAAACGAAAAAAAAAACCTTCTGTTTTAAACCGTTGCAGGCCTGTTTTTTTCTCTTGTGACTTTTCGCACGAAGCACGGTTTGTGTTACATCACATGATACAGTACTAGCTTCGGTGATCTCCCATTACTCATTACTTTAGCAGTTGGATTTTTATCCAACTGCTAAAGTCATTTCACCCAAATTTAAAGTTTTTCTTTAAAGTTTTTCTTACGTTTGACATGCCAGCAACATTTATATCACAAGCTTGACATAAGGCACGCAGAGAATCAGTATGCCACAAATCCATATCGTTCATGTCGAGATTCTTTGACTTTATCAGCGCATGCAGAACTGCAGGGTCACCTAAAATACATAACAACTAATTGAGTGTGTTGACTTTCCATCGCAATTGTTCTGAGATAAAACAGTGTACCCACCGTTTATTTCTTTTTTTGGCTTCAAATACACACTCCGCTTCTGCATCTCCGTGTTGTACACTTTCTCCGCTCTAGCGGATGGAGCAATGATAGGAGGTACTGTTGCGGCATCGACCTTACCATCATCTAGTTCTGTTTTTGTGTATGTGGTTTTCTCCACCCAATATTTTTTTAACCTGATAAGGAAGTCCTCCAAAGGAACAGGCTCACACTCACTATTTGAGCAGGAATTATTGAAATTAACCTAAGAAAAAGACAAAGTCTAAACTTAATAATTTATGGTATCTGACAGGTAAATTACTTGGGCCAACATGGTTTCAAAGAATTTTTTTATTACAGTAACATTTATACACTTATGCAACTCAGATCACAGCAATTCTTTTCATTTCCATCGCCACAATAAACCTCTCCTGCAACACCACAGACACCACAGATAACGTCATCTAATGATCTTTCTGTGATAGCCTCGAAACAGTAAAACCCATTGTACAGTAGCTCCACCAAGTACCTTTGTTGACCACTTGACAGAATAACATCCTGAAAAAGAAATAATGTTTGTCTCTAAAATGTACTTCGCGTAAAGAGGCTTCAGTTGGTTATTTGTAGTGACTATACGTACAGTGACATATTATAATACATATATGCATACACACACAAAATACATACACTCATGTTATAAAATAGTGTTTGTGGTTTTCTTACACTCGGACATGTCGTCGCGCACCATGATCTGATTGTACTTTCAACAAATACTTTGACAGGTACTCCTCTCTTAAACAGCTCTCTCCATTCCACCAAAACCTCCAGTGCAAGCAGGACCTTGTCATTAATATTAAAAAGACCTGGAATGCATGAAATACATATTTAAATTAAAGGTTTGGGCTGCTTTGTTTGGTCAGCGGATAGCAGGGTCCCGCCGACTTTGTTAGATTCATGTCTCGCTATTTATAATGCTAATCCTAATCCCCACCCTAACCCTAACCGCTAACCCTATTAGCGAGACATGAATCTATAACCCGCTGGGCCGCCAGGGAATGACAATAAAAAAGACGGAATATCTAAGACATTTGTTGTGAACTAATGGTTCCAGTTGAATTTCCCACTAATTAAATTATTGACAAAAAGGTATTATTTGTCACGCATGTCGAGGAGATCTGATTAACAGGGGCGTAAGAAGCATCAAAAGATTGGGTGGGGGGGGGGCACCGGCTTCTAGGGGCACTTTAGGGTATTGTTAAGGCACCTAAAAAATTTTCTCCCGGAAATGTGGGCGACGGGGGGGGGGGGAAGAAGAAAAAAATTCCCGTCGTACCATACCCAAATTGCACGTTTTTGACCAAATTTTTTTTTAAAACTTGGAAATTTGCAAACAAAAAGGGCACCTTTCATGTTAATTGAGTATTTACAGCGACATTAGCTTGTACAAAAAGGGCACTTTTCATCACAAAAAAGGGCACTTTTCATCACAAAAAAGGCACTTTTAGTCCTTTGAAAAAATTTGGGGCATGTGCCCCCATGCCACCACGGTTCCTACGCCCCTGGATCTGACACCTAAAACAAGCCTAAACTAACGAGTAAAGTAAATGCACATTGCCATTGGCTAAAGTAAGTAGACCAATGACTTTTAAATGTTTTTTAGAAACATATCTTAACTGCTACTGAATATATGTATCAACTTAGAGCTAGGGGTATTCTAGCCAACCACATTGTATTTAAAATTTTTTGAACCCCCATACTTTTTTACGTGTTTCCAACTATCATTATTCATTTTTATTATATGGACAATGGTGCTTTATTGGAAACTAAAACACTCGTAGAACTCATACGTCACTACATCCGGGACCAGTTGTGCGAAATTGACGTTGGAAATAAAACCAAAACATTTAAAAGACATCTTGAGATAAGCAAAATTTATTCTAGTTTTATGTTTGGACTATAATTTTTAAAAATATCGCTTTTATACTGGTCTTTCGCGTGCTTATTTACATGTCGTCTTTGTGTGTACAGTATTTTTGTCACTCTGAGTAAGTCCAAATATAATAAACAGAACATTAGACGGATGCAAAGAGATATGGATTTTTAATATGTTCTCGTCGAGGTTCTCGTGTCAAAAACAATATCGATATTGTTTTTGCCACTCAAACATAAAATCCATATCTCTTTGTAACCGCGTAATATCCTCTATATATTTAAAAACATCATTCTTGTGACAACCATTTTTATTCAAATTTTAGGCAATGCTTTACATGCACCTGGACAAAGTGGAATTTTCTAATAGAACCTAGTTGGTCTTCCTCATTTTTTTATCTAAAAATGTGCTGATACTTACCATCACTCAAAGGCCATACTTGATGCATTGCTCGGCATTCTGGATTTTTGCAGAATTTGACCAATACCTGAACCACAAGAAACATACGCTGATGTGTCATGAGAAATGCTTTACCATCTGAGCCTGGCTTCGTTTTAGGTAAGCTCAGTTGAGTCCCGCACAGTTCACATGATTCTTGTGAAGGTATAAATAAAGATGGCCATGATTTATCTTCTATCCTTGCAGTACTCCAGGCATCAATGTTTCTGCACTTGATTATAAATTCTTTCGGCACTTGATTATAAATTCTTTCGGCACTGGGTATGGTAGGGAACACCGAGCCATTAAGTCCACAGTTCTTTGCCGACAAACTGAGCTAGTTCGAGGTTCAGCAATTTCTTCTGGGGATGTTGGAGTTGGGTCTACTGTTGGTTTAACATGTTCTCTTAGAACACACAGCAAAACATGTACATGTAGGCAGATCTTCTTTGACTTCAATTGTTTTGTGTTGCCACCACGACTTTTGCAGTCTTTGGAGGAGCAGATGTAGTTGCCCTGACAAAAAATTAGAGATGGACAAACAAACAGACACATTAGCTATAAATTTACATGTGCATTTAATTTGATTTATGGTACCCTTTATATTACATACTTTAGGTGAGTTTAGTAAACTCACCTAAAGTACGTTATATAAAGGGTACCATAAATCAAATTAAATGCACATGTAAATTTATAGCTAATGTATCTGCTTTACGTACGTTATTAGACTATAGGGTGGTTAGCAGCACTATTTGAAAATGTATGATTAATTATTAATGATTGTAATAGCTATTGTCACTCTAAATGGGCATACTATATATTCATACCTATTGATTATATAATTGAGGAATTTTTTGTACATGAGTTTACATTGATATTACACAGCCGATATCAAAATCTAACTGACAAAACTAATTTCTGATATAATCCCAAATGGAGTCATGGTAACAATGAGATTTCCATTCTAAGCTATGTACTTACAATACACTGTTACTGCAAGTCAACACCACTTTCATAATGTGAAAAAGATGCAACAAATGAAAAACCAACAACTATATAGCCTGAAAGCCAACTACACCACCCTCTTGATCAAAAGGGTGCACACAAACTGCGAGGCAGCAAAGCAATGGCAAGCCCGTGAGGCATGCGAATGATGCGAGGAAGGCTGCGAGACATGCGAGGCAATCCCGCGAGTACTGACGAGCCTTTTTTTCTACTGCCCTTGGGCCCTTGGTTTGAATGCATTTCCCAGTGTTTCCACAACGCATCATTCAAATTTCCTTGATTTTGCTTTAAAATTTCCTTGAATTTCCTTGAAATGGGATGTAATTTCCTTGAAATTTCCTTGATTAACCGAAGTATATTTCGGCAACTAGAATTCATCAATACTTCTATAAAGTAAGACAGAAACAGAATGGTACATTTATTTTGTACAACTCTTAAAAACAAAGCCTTTACACAACAATTTTGAAAGCTTTAAAATGTAAAATACTAGAGTTTTAATATTGTTCTCAAAAGTCAACAAATTCACACGACAAATAAATTCATATAAATTCGCCTGCACGCAGCACGCTACCTGATTTCCGCCTTTAATTCAGGTTGTGTGAAGCCTACTTATAATTCACTTATTCACCAATAGCGACGCCATCTTGAATCATGATGCATTATGGGTTATCCAGGGTAAAAATCCGAATTCAAAAGCCTTTGATGTCGTATTGAGACACAATACGATATTTTTTTTCATAAACACTTTCTTGAGGACAATTGGGCAGTGTAAATAAATTTTATGCGCACTTTGTTGAAATTATTTCCCTTTTTAGGCCTAACAAAGATTTAAACTATAGATTTTATCATGATTTTTTTTATTTTTCCCAGCCTGTGTTTCCTAGTTCTTCTAAAAATTGTCTGTTATTTTCAACTATAAAAACGTGTGTTATCACCTACATATTTGATTTACAGCCCTTCAAAAACACTTAATTACCCTGTATCACCCATAATGCATTGCGTTAAAAGCGAAATTCAAGATGGCGTCGCTATTGGTGAATAGGTGAATTAGTTTAATTAACATTCTAGATTCTAGTAATTCTACTGACTCGGTCACAGGCTCCGAAAGAGTTTTTTTTTTATTTTTGCACGCGGACATATTGATTATGAGCGATGGAAAGTAATATAATTTAAAATTAATGAAAGGTTCCTGAAAGAATCTTTAAAATATTTCAGTTGACTCAAAAATTCCTTAAATTTCCTTAGAATTTTCAAAAATTCCTTAGATATCCTTGATTCCTTTTTTTTCCTTGAAACGTCTTTTTTCAGTCAAAATTTCCTTGAAAAAGGAAATTTCCTTGAAAGTGGAAACACTGGCATTTCCAAATTACCCAGAAATTCGTATATAAAACCTTATCGAGTTTGTATGAATGTAGTTTTTCAATTGACAGATGAACAACGGAAAAGAGTTAATATTCCATAATTTTTAGTGAAGCTTGTCACTTGTTGAGCTATTGTCTAGGTTAATGACGTTTTGACTGGAGTGCTGTAGTTATTTAAAACTATAATGTATAGACAGAACTGTTATTAAAACTAGAATGTCGTTCACATTTGTCTGTTTGTCCAGCGTCAAGTTAAGTATGTTCAATATGTTAAATATCGTCAAATTTTGGAGTCAGTCATTGTGTCTACCTCCCACTGGCACATCTGCCTCGCACTTTTTTTCATGCCTCGCACTTTTTTCATGCCTCACACTTTTTTTCATGCCTCGCACTTCTACCTCGCACTTTTTTTCATGCCTCACACTATAGTAAAACTCTGATCAAAACAACATTTATTAAAACAAATCCTACCTTGTTGAATTGAACATGTGTATAGCATATAGGAGTTGATGTTGATGCTTTTCCATAAACCACAAAATTTTTGTCAGACACTTTCATGGCAACAGCTTGTGATGCTGACAATCTCTCCATTAGAGACAATATAGTTTCTTGAGTGCCAATGTCAGCTGGATAGGTTCTGATGGATTCATCACTTAAAAAATACTTTTCTAATGGCTCTTGTGGCTTCCTATCTATCTTCTCACTGTGTTTACAGCTAAACGGCCTTCCTGAAGAAGAACTTAGATGGATTGCTCGTTGTTGTTTACATGTCTCATGGTAACAAAGGCAATTTGTTCCTTGTACCAAAACCAAACACCGATCATCCCTTGTGCTGCTGTTTACTGAATACAGAGAAGTATCACCTTCTATGTAAACAATGACACAGTCTGGAATGTTCAGTTTTGGCTTAGGCAAATATGAACCTCCTATTTCAAAGTGGCATCCCTCACATAACTTTGGTTTCCGTGCTGTCATGTACTTATGGCCACATTTGGGACAACTAGCAGTGCCACGATTTGTCCACTTAGGTAAGACAATTGATTCATCCTAAAAGTTTATGAAAATAAATTAGTATTAATCATTCCTAATTCCCATTGTACTGTAGTTCAGACAAGGTCCTCCAAGTCCCCCTCCAGTGAATTGTGGCATGTTCCTGTGAGTAATAATTGTGGCACGTTCCTGTAAGCATTCGGATTGATTAGTGATTAATTAAATGTACCCGAGGCTTGAGGGGCATTTAATCACTAATCAACCATAATGCCATGCTATTAATTTGTAATATTATGGCTAGGTAAGGGACATACTGTAAATCAAACCAATTAGATAAGGTATAATTAGTTACTAATAGTATAGTAGTTACTAATACTATTAGTAACCAATCATACTGCAGTTGCAATTGCTTGGTCCAGTGGCATAGACAAGGAGGGGCAAGAGGCCCCAATGACCTTAAGGGCTGCCCTTGTAAAAAGCTACAGGATCCCAGACCTCAAGAAATAAGTGATAATTATAACCTTAATTACAGTAGTTACATTCTAAGATAGAATTCTGCACAAGTAAAGATGAAGAGTTAGTAAATTAGAATTAATTATATACGAGTTAGTATAATTAATTATATATTAAATAGAGAATAATACATGGGATACCCTGTGAGCAAAGTCCTCTCGTATTTCTTCTCGGCACGACACAGAGAAAAGCAGAACTTGTGTATTAATTCATTTGAGCATGCGCTATTAGGTTGCTAAGCAACTGCCTATTTCCAGAAGAAGATATAATAAGTACTGTAGTTTCCGGTTCGGATCAAAACCGGTTATAAAACCGGTATCAACCTGAAATTACGCATAATTATCCAAGTTTTTGGATTGTATTGTATTCACGTTGTTTGGTTTGTCGCCTCCACAAAGAATATACACAAGTTCTGCAGAGTCTCTCGCTTCTCCATGCCATGCTTAGAAGAAATATGAGAGGACTTTGCTCGCAGAGTATACATGGGAGTGCGGAAATACCAGATTTTGATATTTGCTGTGTTGGTGTGATGTACTCAGGTGAATAAGATGCTTGTGTGATGTTACTCGGAGTGTATATCCACACCGGCAGGCTTGAAAAATATGCCTGGCCACGGTGGGAATCGAACCTACGACCTTTGGAGCCTGCGAACGTACGACCTGGCCACGGTGGGAATCGAACCTAAGACCAGTGCATATTTTTCAAGCCTGCCCGGTGTGGATATACACTCAGATTAACATCACACAAGCATCAAATACCAGATTTATTTCAAAACACGAGAAATCTGGTATTTCCAAGCACCCATGTATTTTTCTGTTTATTATATAAAGGACAGTCTTTGAAAAGCTATAATTTTTACAGAAAAGCGATATTAAATTGAAAAGCGATATTAAATTGAAAAGCGATAATTTTCACATGTGAAATTATCATAAATAAATTGTCATAAATATGAGATTCACATGTGAGATTTTATCAGTGCTCGAAATCTCTATAAAGCATTATACTTTATATAATAAGTAATTCTTTTTTATACCACAGAAAGATTGCATTGGGGAATCTAAATTTTTGATGATATAGCTAGGTTCTGCCATTAAGCAAAGACATGATATAGCTACTTAGCTAGGTTCTGCTATCATTAAGCAAAGACGCGCTTACCGTTGAACCAGATGCCATGCTTGGTCAGTCAGTCAAGACCACAAATACACCAAGCTTCGCCAACACAAAACACCAAGCTTCGCCAAGCTCAAACCTGTACGTAAATATTGAAACCATCTGAATTAATACTGCCATAAACATATTCAATATAAAACCATTGCCTAACATAATTTAAAATATACTTTTAATACCAAAACCAAATATACATTTGTATCATTATTACATCATGTAAACAAATACGCTTCTTACCTTTGTTTAGTAAATCTATGCCTTTCCTCGAATGACAAAATTCAATTGAACAACGCAGAGAAGATAACAACTCAAGACAAGAACGCAGAAAATCCAACCACGACGCAATTTATCGGCAAGAAATTTTAATTTGCGATCGCCGCACATGTCACATGGCATGCGAAGAAACGGAAGTAAGGTTCTGATAAACCGAAAGCTATTGGCTAATACTTGCGGTGAGTTGCGATGAAAGAGTACAGATAAGAACCAATCAGCGACCTCGTTCCTAAGCCTACGTATTTACCGATTGCTTTAGTTGTAAATCACATTCTGTTTACTATACTTTATTTCTCCACATGCTGTAGGGTCTTTCCTTTAAAATTGCATATTACTGTATAAATGATGTACAAAATGATCAGCAGACTTACCATAATGCATTTGGACAAGGAACTGAATATCGACGCCGGATAATGGTTCTAGACTCGCGTAATGTTGCAGTAATTGGATCAATTCTTTGAAGTGATTGAAGAATGCGCCATCTTTGAACTCGCATCCCGCGCTGGCGTAATGCACCTTGCACTAATCTGTACCCAAGCCCTGGAGTTATGTGCAAAATTTGTCTGACCAGAAGATCAAGCTGTACATCTTCCATATTAGAAAACTGTTCATTAGTACCAATACTCATGCCATACCCTAGTCTGCGTCGTCTCAATGTTCTTTCTGATACTCCTAAATTTCTGGCGATTTCCGCCCAACGAAAGCCAGCTCCATTATGGAGACCTTGGAGAATGTTCTCTGAAATGTCGAAAATCGGTCGACCGACTACTCCTGACCTAATCATTCCGACTGACAAAGAACTTGTATTCTGTTCATCTTCGTCAAGCATTCTACGAAATGAAAGCTTCTGGTAGTGCTGCCTACGTTCACATACATTCTCTAACAACGTGTTGAGATCCGTCAAGAGTTGATTTTCTGTTGGGTATGCTTCGCAAATTCTTCGAAGAAGCACGCTTAAAGTTCTCTCTAATTCGTCAAGTCGTCGCGATAAATACTCAGCAGAATCAAATGTTGTATTTTCTAATGATGATGTTAAAATATTTTGTAACGACCGAAAAAATTCTACCTGAAAATCTCGCAATATTCTGTTAGCCATAGCAAATTTAGCAGATGCAAATTTAGCAAAGTTTGTCATTTATGTGAGCAGCAGATCTTTCCAGCGGTTGTTAAGAAAATATTTTTAGGTGCTTTATCTCATAGACTTTTATTTGTTCCGCATTCATATAACTGGATCTTCTTCTTACTTCCGTTTCCGGCATTACGTTAAAGTGTGCGTATGAAAATTTGATAATTTTTGTATGCGTGAAAATTTGATGTATTTTGTGTTCGTGAAAATTTGATATTTTTTGTGTGCGTGAAAATTTGATATATTTTGTGTGCGTGAAAATTTGATATATTTTGTGTGCGTGAAAATTTGATATATTTTGTGGGCGTGAAAATTTGATATTTTTTGTGTGCGTGAAAATTTGATATATTTTGTGGGCGTGAAAATTTGATATTTTTTGTGGGCGTGAAAATTTGATATATTTTGTGGGCGTGAAAATTTGATATATTTTGTGTGCGTGAAAATTTGATATATTTTGTGTGTGTGTTCACGGTAAATTGACATTTTATTGACATGCTTTGATAAAATATATGACGGTTTGATATTTGTATTGTAGGATTTGTTATTTTTTCGTAACTTTGATGTTTATTATTCATGTGATAGTTTTGAAATTATTATTGTGGAATTTGATATTTTGATTACGTCTTTTAATATGACATGTGTGTGTTTATATATTTGTTACATGTGTTTTGATATAAATTGTCTCTGACTTTGCTATACATAACATTGACGATTTGATATTTTATTTGGGACGTTTCATATTTGTATTGCGAGTTTTCACATTTTAATATTGGCTTTGTTATTATATCTACAACTTTCATAATATTGTCCGTAACGGAACGCCATAATATACACTCAGAGTAACATCACAAACATATTATTCCCCTGAGGACACAACACCAACACAGAAAAAAATTATTGGTGGGGTTATTTCTTGCAGGTCAAACTGGTATTGTTTAACATCATTACCATATGTGGATAATGCAGTGCTTCCATTTTCAAGGAAATTTCCTTTTCTAAGGAAATTCTATGGTCGAAAAGGAAAATCTAAGGAAGAGAAAAATTCTAAGGAAATCTAAGGATTTTTCCGAAAAACTTAGATATTCATCCAAGTGCATTGGTGCAGAAGAAGGTTTCACCATTTTTTTTATTATTGAGTGAATTATCAATTACGTTTAATTAAAAATCTGTTTATAACTTTTTCTTCATGTCTCCGAAAACATACGAAAGTTTTTGAGCGATGGGATTTAGTAACTTTTGGCGCCAAACACTTTGAAAAGTTAATTAATTATATCAGTGGAAATGTATATGTTGTAAACTCATAACAAATATTTAATATTTAAATAGTATAATAGCCTGTGATTTTTAGCTAGCCCACATCTGTGTTAATTGTCCTATTTTTTGCCTTTAAAATTAATTAAATCCTTTGTATTGCTACAAAATCACTGCAAACTGCTTAATAAAATTTCAAGGAAATTTCAAGGAAATAACGTATTCAATCTAAGGAATTTAGAGAAAATTTGATGACAAAAATGGAAAATTTTGATTTTGAAAATGGAAGCACTGGGATAATGGTCCATTTTTTGCTTGATAGTCGTCAAGAAAGTTCCTGATGTTCTCTCGGACTGCAAATGTCTTCTCTACACCTTTGGCATTGTGTTTCTGACCTTTGTGCTTTAGTATTGCTCATTCATATAGCTCACACGAGTAGTTGTCCATACTTGAGTGGCACTTAATGTCTTCTGCAACATGGACTGAATACTCCAAATTTTCAGTACAGATATGAAGACCTTCTGCTCTGATCGCTTGACTCCATAGTAGTTTCTCAAGTCGTTCAATGTGGTGATTTTCCCATCCTGTTACTTGTAGTTGTGTGCTGTACAACATTTGAACAGCATCACACAGTAGCATATAGCAATCCTAAGTCTTTAGTATTCTTTCAGTCAATACCTATTTTGCAACACTGCTAAATCTGTGTAGAATGAGAATAAAATGGAATGCGGAATACAATACACCCAACATAATGATTTCACTCATTCTTTTTAGAGTCGTGCAGACAATTCTGTTCAGTTTAAACTAACAGTATGAACTAAATTTATGTGTCCTACCCAATTACTTTATTAACTGCATGCATAACATAAAGTATTTAATTTATAGCCAAATGTCAAGATTTGAAATCCTAAAATTATAGTATGTTTTATCTGTGGTACAGAAGGTGAGGTCAGTTGTATCCTGATTCCAGAGGCACTTTGCGAGGGGAACTGCAAAGAGCCTATGGAACCAGGAATGTTAGATAGGGCAGATAGCTATCTGGTGCTAGCACTTTAACATATATATTAAAGGGCCATAACATATATATTAAAGGGCCATAACATATATATACATTAACATATATATTATTATATCGCATAGCGTTCTCACATACGATATTGTTATCCGTTTACAAGGAAATATAGAAAACACTATACGAAAACGGATTTGTGCAGACAAAGACCCAGTATAAAAACAGAACCTAAAATTATCACATTTTGTGATTGGCTTTGCAAGATAAAAGTGACTAATGTTTGTGACTCGTTCTTTAGAAAATTATTTTTAGCTGGGAAAAATTGTTGCCCATTTATGTACAATATACACAGCTAAATTCACTTACATTGCAACGGTAAAAAGCAATTAACTCAATTCGATCCGCCAATATTGATTTCCGACGTTTATGACGGGAAGATTAAATATTAAAGAACTCTGTGAGTATTTGCAGTAGAAATACGAAAATACCACCAAAAGATTCCGCTTGATTGATACTATATATTCCGAAATATTCGTATAATTTTGTTGTTTCTAGCTCAATTTCAAGCAAATTTCTTACCTTGAAATGATCAATGTGGTGAAATTTATGCAAATGCGCATTACCAATTTTGCTGTTGCATTTTGAATGTTCCGCCTGATTTAAATGCTTGAATCTTTGCTTCTTTTCAACGTATAATAAAGACAAATATATGAAAAGAATCGCCATCTTGCATTCTATAGCTCGGAGCAGTCTTGGGAAATTGCGAAATAAATTGCCAAATTCTTGGTAAAGCATTACCGTTTCCTGGTAAAAGACTGTAGAAATCACTTCGGGAGTGTTTGTTTACCCTAGATACGGATTTTGATTGGCTTAGGCAGAAAAACAAACCTTTTAGAGCAATTTTCCTGATTATCACGCACAAGCGTTGTAATGCATTGTGTTGTAATTGTATTGTTTGAATCGCTTCCTCAAGACGCTCTTGGCCTTATTTTGCAAACTGATAGTGCTAGTAATGACGGAATGTCTTCGTACGAAGACAAGTATCTCAACCTGGCATTGGGAGTCGTGTCTGGAGTTTCAAGGTAAGTATTTTTATCATTTCTAGACAATTTCTATTTCAATGTTTTGCCGTTGCCATGGCGTTGTAAATTTATTTGCATTTAGTATAGCTTCACTAGTACGACCAAGTATGTCCTCATATCGCTTTTTTGTGTTGAAATAATCCTTCCATACTGAAATTGACAAATATAAATGGTATTTATTTATATTGTTGACGAAAATTTATGGTGTTTTAGGCATAAAAAACTCTGATTCCTAGGCAAAGTAAAATGAGCCTTGAGCACATGTTTGGTTGTTTGTTACATACAGTACATAATAGACCAAGTATTCATACTTATATCTTACTAGTTTGGCTCTTATTATAATTTTAAGTGGCGCCATGTAAATTATGTCTATAAAAAATGTTTTAATTTCAGTGAGGAAGGTATTGATCCTGTTCCTAGCTGCTGTTCCTGTTTCATAGCCTCAGGGAAGTAGCAGTTCTGATGAGTCATGAGAACCCCAACCCCCATCAGGAAAACGTGTAAGTGTGGAGGGAAGGTAGGGGGATGAGTAGAGGTAGAGGGAAGCCCAGCCACTAGGACCCAAGGTTTTGAAAGCTCGCTGTCTAGCACCCCCCCGACTAGGCCCCATAGTACATGATGGACATGCATGGTGATACTGACACTAGGAATATTCTCCCAGATTTTGCCCCTCACTGACATGTCTGGGATCCATTTCGATCAAGCTTTCACCAGAAGTATGAACTGTGAGCTTGAGTTCATTCGGCTCTTTTTTACTAAGGGAATGCTTCAGGAGGTATTTTCCCATACCAATACATATGCCCACATACAAATAACCCAAAAGTCATTCCCATATACTAATAAAGAAGGGTCTTGGAGTCGACCAACCTTGAGGAGATTGTCTGTGGGCAATAGAAATAATTTATCGGTTTAGGTACAAAGCGCTTATGGCATTTCTGAATATGGTAGATCCTGTCACTGACGACTACAGCAATAAACTGCATCAACAACTGTACCATGCAGCCATCACAGAATATTGCTGTTGACGAACACACTGTCAAATCAAAGAATAGGTTGGGGATTCAGCAGTTCATGAAAGATGGCCTACTATGTGGGGTATAAATCTGTGGGTTGCTGCAGACATTCCTAATGGTTATATTGCTACTTGAGATTTTTACAGGAAGAAGTCCAGAGATTCATATAGCAGCATGGATTTGGGTATGACGTGGTGATGTAATATAAGTTTGGTTACAGTCTTAGGTCCTTTGTGGTCCAATATATATTTTGTGCAAAAAATGAACTATTTTCACCACATAATCCAATTATGTGTCTTGGCAAACATTACTGCCTTGGAAAACATTACTTTTTTGTAACTACTAATGATGACGCCAGCCCAACAACACTTGGTCATGCTATATGCAAATATTTTCATGTTCTAGATTGTGAAAACAATCAATTTCTAAAGAAATGAGTAATGATTATTTAAAATTTGAATAGCATGACCAAGTTAGTCACGTCAAGTCAGACCAGAAATGGAATAGCAAATTAAAAGATACAAGCTGAAAAATAACACTCTAAATAGTGTTTTTGATAGAGATTCGAACAAGAATATTTAACAAAGAAGATACGTCCGAAGGGGCCGAAGTTATGATCGGCGAAAGGTATGGGCTAGTCTATATTTTCGTTCAGACAATTACATGTGTATTAATTAAATAATATACGATCTCGCTTGACTTTCAAAGGCCATAAATCGCAATAATGTTGACATTTTACTAAAACTATCGATAGAAATTAGGAGATATTTCTTCACTGAATCGAACAGTGGGATTTTCATATAGGCCTATCATGTTCTGAACCAAAGATACTTGATAGATATTATATACGAACCTCAAACTGTCAAAGTATAAACAAGGGGCCGGTTGATGCAGTAATTATCAAATAACAGTTAAACTCTTATATACCTGTTGAATATGTATAGTTGTAAACAAATAAAAACTATCGTTCTATAAGGTTCAAAACTTTCAGTTTGGTTGTTGACTGATGATGAATCTATAGTATAGACTTGCATGCTTTGTATTTTGAGCTTATTAAACTACCGTTTTAAGGCAGCTATTAAACAGGCTTGGTTTATATTAACACATAAAATAAATTCCTTGATTCTCATCACTAGACACAGTCTACACTTTGAAATGTCAAAGACAGTGGGAGATTTATTTTTTATATTTTATATTTATATAATTTATATATCAACAGTTCGTATCTCCATGAACAATGACAGAATGACTGAGTTTCTTTAAAATACAATGAAATTTCATTCAAAATTCTGTTTGTTTCAAATTGGAAGTTTAAAATGGCAATAAAAACTCTATATAAAATATTAAAAAATTAACTGTCTTGAATTATTTTGTCGGGCGGTACATTTATATTGTATAACGAAATATAAAACGTTTTCACGAGGATTTTAAAATTCAGTCGGGCGGTGATGAGAATCAAGGAATTTATTTTATGTTGGGCAGTTGGGACTTGGGAGCAGCTTGGGAGTGGCTAATTTTGAATATTTACTTAATTAATGCATCTATAAATAGCGTTGATGCTTCAGGGGCGGTAGTTCATTTACACCCAGTCTTGCAGGCGGTATTTCCTCATTTACACCCAGTCTGGCAGGCGGTATTTCCTAAGTACCACCTGCCATGCAGGCTACAGACGTAATGAAAGTTTGTGCCGAGAAAAACGATGTAAATTGTCTGGAAATGCCAAACAAAGGCGTCTCACGAATAAAATAAAGCGGAGTCAGATTGAGAAAGAAACCAAGGCCACATATCTTAGCTACGATCGAGGGCAGTGTATTATGACCTATTATTTTATTGGAGAAAGTGGAAAGATGAAAGATCCTTGTATACAACAACTAGCTGTGTGTAAGTACATGTATAAATTGTATGTAGTTCATATACAAAATAAACAAATTGTCTGTCTGAAACTGGATAGCTAAAAAATTATATACTCAGCTTCTGTTTTATGTATTATACTGTAACCATCCCCCTTATCCATATTGTGTTATACAGAAATTATATTTGTACATTTATATTTATTTATTTATTTATTTAGCTTTGCCAACTAGGGCAGGGTCACCACAACAGCATATGCCAATTACTGTGGGCCCTTTTTTACCTAACCCACCCTGTCAACTTTCCCTGTGGGAGGAAACCGGAGTACCCGGGGAAAACCCACGGCTTTCGGCAGAGCGTTGACTTTTACTCTTTTCACATGGGGACTGGGTTCGAGTCGCACTGAGAAGGTACTTAGTGAGACTCGAACCTGCAGCCTCAGAGGTGAAAGGCAAGTGCGCTAACCACTTGGCCACCGAAGCCCCTTAAAAAATGTCAATAGAATCAACTGTCCAAGCGAATTGCGCTGTAACAAGAATAGGCCATGGGCTGTTGGCCAAAATTATTTCGCTTTGTGGCACCCATGTGGGAAATACTTGGTTTGGGGTTTAGTTGAAAGGCATATAGGTACATCACTACCAAAAAAAAGTTCCCAAGCAAAAAGTTGCCCAATACTTTTAAACAGTTTTTTAATTTTTAAAATAGTCTTTGAGTTATTGCTGTTTTAAATGTAAAAATTGGACCAAAATGTCACAATAAGGACTGGGTACTAGGTCAAAGCACGTTTTTGACAGCGTATAACTCGTAAACAATTTTAGATATAAAAAACTGTAATTACAAAAAACTGCAAGTAATTTTTGTTGTAATTGAATACAAAATTTCACATTTTCTTGCTGTAATACAATTTACAGCCAATTGCAGTTGAGCTTGCAGCTTGCATTTTAAACGCGTTGTTGCATCGTTGAAAAGTATGCGTTCATTCCTTGGAAACACGCCGTTGCTAGGGGCGTAACGTGAACTTTTGGCGCGCGTTGTAACGGCGTAAACATGTTTTTCTATTCTTGGCGTTGACGAATTAAATTAGATTTTGTCACATTAAATTAGATTTTGTCACAAAACCGACCAGGGAGTTCTAATTTGACTGCAGGCACTCTAAAAATACCTTACTGTTCCGTCGCAGGCTTAAGCGGCGTTTTTACAATATATTTAACTCGTTATACGACTTATACGTTTGTTTGCACGCCGTTAAGAAGTTCAACAATGCCCGCCAAAAGTTCACGTTACGCCCCTAGTAACAGCGTGTTTCTAAGGAATGAACGCATACTTTTCAACAATATAACAACGCGTTTAAAATGCAAGCTGCAAGCTCAACTGCAATTGGCTGTAATAGAGGATAATCACTGATCACCCATTTTCTCTGTGTTGGGCAAGTTTTTTTGCTTGGGAACTTTTTGTGGTAATTAAGCATCTATTGTTCTATGAATTGAACCACAGAAAATCTATTTCCCAGGAGGGTGCCACGAAATTGCTTTTCTAGGCACTTTTTCACACAACAGCCCATGGCCTAGAAACTTCTTGTGTTATCTCACAATGTCTATGTAAGTGCCTAAATTCAGGTGATAATATCGGCTAACAAACGTGTAACATTTCACGTTTATGCTGTAATATTAAGCATAGCTTTAATTCTGCTAAATTATCGACAGTATGTGTCAGGTTTTGTCTTCATTTAAGATAAAACTAAAGGTGATTTAATGTTATTTCTGCCTTTAGTCAACATTTAAATTGTATGTTAAAGGTCATTAAAGTATGTGCGGTTTAATGTTGGTTTTAACCCGCTTTAATATCCTCACTAAATGCAATTAAGTGTATCAGTTTCCAAAAGAGGTGTTTTATTCAGACTAAATGCGATTAAATGTAACTTTTTATTTAACCACCTTTAGTCAGCTTATTAAAGGTGTAAACACACATTTAATATCTTTAGTCGATGAAGCGAAGCGTCGTTTCCACGACGAGACCGTCCGATTGTAGTTTTTCTATGGCATTGTCGAATTCCTGCAGATACCCATCATGATTGACAATGACGAAACAGGAGGGACAGGTTGGAAAATGGGTCGGAACAAATTCTTCGTGCTCTTCTTCGTCTTCGGTTTCACTTGAAGAAGCGGGGGCATTCTGGTAGCAGTAGGTGTTTGATATATCCACCATCTCTTGAACGGTAGCATTATTTATTTTGATCTTTCACTGTCTGAAAGAGCTGTCTGGCTGCAGTTTCGAGATCCGGTTTCCTGCGGTTTCGCACCTTGATAGGTGTTATTTCTGGTTCGACATCCTGGTTGTGTAACACAGCAAAGAACGTCTCCTTGTTGCATTTTTCGTTCAACTCCTACATGATGAAAAAGGCTACACAAGGGTATGTGTCCTTGTTTGCTGTCTTGTTGTTTGGGTCGGTTGTAACGTTTGGATTCGAACATACGCCAGAAATCGAGGAAAAGAAAAAAAACCACACCGTCGATAGCTTCGATCACATCGTTCAACAGCAATCTTTTGGTAGGAATTTGTAGTGTAGCAAGTTCAAGGTCTTCATGTTGAACATGCCATGTCGTGCGACATGCGACTGCTCGATGCTTAGGTTTTAGCTAATAGATATAAAAAGGACAATTATTTACGTTGTATCCAGGTTGTGTACAAAGATTTATTAATTTTCACAAATCCAAAAACAATTTGATGCAAACTTACAGAGGTTAAAATATTTGCTTGAAGCGAGTTTTGTAAACGTTTGGAATCAAGTTCCTTTCGTGGTTTGAGTTGGCATTTTGTAACAAAAATTGTTGTCTGCAGTGAACGCTTTTATATGTTTTAGTATGATTACTGTAATTTACATGGGGAACAATATTTTGTACAATGGTGACAATGGTGAAGATCATGGTGACAATGATGATGGTGACAATGGTGATGGTGATAATGGGGATGATGGCAGTGATGGTAGCAATAGCAGTAGTGGTGAGGATGGAAGTGGTTATAACAATGACAGCAATGATGGTGCTGATGCTGGTGGAAGTGATGGCAATGATTTGGGTGCCAGCGATGATAGTGGTGATGGTAGCAATAGTGATTTCAATGAAGATGAGATAGAACTGGAGATGGAAAAGTGTATCTTGAAAGTACGTGATGCAAAATAAACTATGGTTGGTCACAGGAAGAGACATTAAGCCAATTACGTAATTTGTATGAATTTACCGAAGATAATCACATACCACACAAGACATGGTACATGGTAATGATGTTCTTAAGGAAACTGGGATTTAAAGACCCAAAATACTACCAAGTCTGCTGTGGAACAGATCATGTAACAGTTGTTTTGGAAGACAAATGCCCTAATTGTGACAAGATAAGAGATAAATGTACTGACTATTATGTTCTTGGCTTAAATGTAGACTCGATTGCAAGTAAATTAAATGACCACTTGGTGCATTGGGAAGAACGGGATGAATGATTTAACCTTGACAACATCACCATGCTTTATAAGGAAATGTGGCATGGCTCACGATTCTGTGAACTATCCTTCTGGGAGTGTCAAATTGAGATTTTCACCACTTCATCCCTTTCCACCATCACACCTGGCATTGACCAGTGGATATACAACAACGCAATGAACTGCATCACCTGGATCGCTGAAGAAATAAATACTCATCTCAGCTTGATACCTTCTGAGGAGCGCTGATACGAAGAAGAGGACACTTTGAACAGTGTTGTACCACCCCTTGATATCGTCATCCAGTGGGAGAGAGGCAACATTGTAGAGATAAGCGAGGCAGATCTCGATCCGCAGCAAACTGCTTATGCCAATACGCCATTGATAGACGAGACCATACTTTGGGCTTTATCACGGAAGCAAAAACGAGACGTGTAGCCAGGAAACGCTGACATAAATGCCAAATTGATTCCAACAAAAGTTCATGTGAGGAGGACGATCCTTCAAATGTTTTCACATTTCTCGACCGTGAAAAAAAACATCTGCTCGCAGACGTCACAAACACAGGCAATACCACCAGCTAACAACGAACCCCAAATGTATAATGAAATGAACAAGTGCTCCCAGACATCTGAAGAACGGCCGTTACTATGTCAAGGCGAGATCATTCCACCAGCTAACATCGAACCGACATGTACTGAATTGGCCCAATCCCCTGTTGAAGTTCACGTCCCACCAGCTGACAACGCATAGAATAACACAGGCTCCTGTCTCCGAAGAAACCAATGACACCCCAGATGTTTGGAGACTCAATGACAAGGTGTATATGAGGAGAGTCGCAGATCTCATCACATTTAATTTCTACAAAGATCTTCAGAGGGGGCACGTTCATAGTTTCACCGAATGCGTACTCCAGGCCAAAATGAGGAGAGATGTCAAGGAATAACATTTTTGGGTGAAATCGGATCCGGAGATCGATGCATGGATGCTGGCGACTAACAGGAAGCGAGACGTGTTTGATATCGAGACATTTGTGGAATACCAACCAGATATCCTTCCACATTTGCAATGACTACGCCAAACATTGAACCTGCTGGTGTTGACTAGTCGCTGCCTCGTTACCAATGCCTTGAATAAGAAAATGAATCCTAATGCTGACCAAGAAACAAACGATGGTCCACAGCTATCTTCCCAATCGTATTGGACTACTTTTAAAAGCTGGTGGCGTTGAAAGAATACAGTGTGAATACATCCTGATTGCCTCCATGCTATTTTATATTCATTGCCAAAAAATCCAGTGAGAAAAAATTAAATGACTTTTTTCTTTGCTAAATTTTCATTGAAAACCCCATAAGAGAGCAAAAAAATAGGATGGATAACATTTAATGAAGATTGAAAATAACAACCTTCATTGGCATTATGTATGAAATAAATTTCGGTGGAAATGGCAAGGTGAAGCACGCTATACTCTTTCAATACTTTATGTAGTATGTAATATATGAACAAGTCTTGTTAGCCAAAAATGCTAATGATTGTGTAGAGTTGTTAAAATGTGACACGTTTGGGAACTTTGTTGTGAAATAAATTATTATCTATTAAAAGTACATCGAACATGTCAAACAGACAGAGCATATTGAAAACAATTCTATCCTCTAAAAATGTTTGTTTCTGTTTGTGGTGTAAGTGTAAAGAAACATAAATATGATAGGATACCTATAATAATACACGCGTGCTTTGTTTCTATCATCTGCAATTATTTACGTTGTAATTCTTGAATTATAATAGTCTGTTAATCGTAGTTGTACTATCATGCCTGGCCAGTCCAGTACTTAGAAAAATATCCACTAATTGGTAAAAATATAGTCCCGCACTTATCTAATCTAACCACACTAATCAACGGTAGTTGATTTTTTTCTAAGTCTCAAATGTATTTACTTTCACCATAAATTGACCGGCTAAAAACTTAAAATCACTGGCTAAGTATAAAACTAGCCGGTTGCTGTTTTTTTCTAATTTGACCCTATAACTTTGTTGAGTAAGGACACTTAGAAAAAATCCAAGACCAGCTATAAGTATAAAACTAGCCGGGTGAAGTTTTTTCTAAGTGTCGCATGACGCTTAGAAAAAAACCAGCAACCGGCTAGTTTTATAGTTAGCCGGTCTTGAATTTTTGTTAAGTGTCAAGTGAATTTACTTTCTACAGAAGATGACCGGCTACAGGCTAGCAATACAAATCTATATTAAAACAACCGGCTAAGGACCGGTTAACAACTGAAATGACCAGCTAAGTATAAAACTAGCAGGTTGCTGGGTTTTTTTCTAAGTGTCAACCCTATAACTTTGTTGAGTAACGACACTTAAAAAAAAATTCAAGACTGGCTAAGTATAAAACTAGCCGGTTGCTGTTTTTTTCTAAGTGTCAAGTGAATTTCTTTCTACAGAAGATGACCGGCTACCAGCTAGCAATACAAATCTATATTAAACGTCTGGCTAAGGACCGGCTAACAACTGAAATGACCGGCTTTTAGAAAAAAACAGCTACCGGCTAGTTTTATACTTAGCCAGTCTTGAATGTGAAGTGAATTTACTAAAGTGTCAAGTGAATTTACTTTCTTCAGAAGATGACTGGCTACCAGCTGGCAATACAAATCGTCCGGCTAACAACTGAAATGACCGGCTAAGTATAAAGTCTCAACCCTAAAACTTTGTTGAGTAACAACACTTAGACAAAATTCAAGACTGACTAACTATAAAACTAGCCGGTCACTGTTTTTTTCTAAGTGTCACATGACACTTAGAAAAAAACAGCAACTGGCTAGTTTTAAACTTAGCCAGTCATTTCAGCTGTTAGCCTGTCCTTAGCCGGTCGTTTTAATATAAATTTGTATTGCTAACCGGTCATCTTCTGTAGAAAGTAAATTCACTCGACACTTAGAAACAATTCAAGACCAGCTAACTATAAAACTAGCCGGTCACTGTTTTTTTTTTAAGTGTCGTAGAAAAAAAACAGCAACCGGCTAGTTTTATACTTAGCCAGTCATTTCAGCTGTTAGCCGGTCATCTTCTGTAGAAAGTAAATTCACTTGACACTTAGAAAATATTCAAGACCGGCTAACTATAAAACTAGCTGGTCGCTGTTTTTTTCTAAGTGTCGCATGACACTTAGAAAAAGAACTTCACCCGGCTAGTTTTATACTTAGCCAGTCATTTCAGCTGTTAGCCGGCCCTTAGCCAGTCGAATTTCCTGGGATTTTTATTGTTAGCCGGTCATCTTCTGTACAAAATAAATTCACTCGACACTTAGAAAATTTTTTACCACCGGCTAGAATAAAGCCGTAGCCGGTCGTTTTTATTAGTAAAACTAAACTCAGTCTGGAAAGATGTAGCCACTTAGATCTTAACAGTGGCATGAATGCAGTTTAACGCTTTGCCCAGGGCGTAGCATTTCTATATGTAAGTACCATGTCTATTGGGATAACCACAGTTAATAAAATAAGATGGTTTGGCTAGCCGGTAAACTTCAAAGCAAAATCGCGACGGGCGGCATTTATGTTGAGGATCAAACAAAACAATTGTCACGTGATCTCTTTAGTGCATGGCTGCATCAGAAATTATATAGGATCATATTACAGTGTTGCGGTTTTGACAAAATTTTGCGAAAATTAACATGATTAGGAGCCAACAATCGACGTTTCTAAATAGTTTATGTAAGGAGAAATAATGGAGGAAAGTTTGGAGGCTATTTATGCTATTCCTGAACCAGTAGAAGCGAATATCGATGAAAGCAAAGTTCCAGAGGAGTGGGAGATTCTCGCAGACGAACAATACGAGGAAGGACTATTCGAGGAAACGTTGCCGTTCAACTTCGAAATTGCCATAGATGTTCTTGAAGAGGACGAAGAAGATATAGAAACTGATTTCGTGGAAGCACTATCAGAGATAGGAGGTGAAAAGCAGTTTCCTTGCCATAGTTGCGACAAGATTTGCAAATCGAAAGGTGGCTTGACCAGGCATGTGAATTCCAAACATCGAGATAAAGGATATGAGGCAAGTAAAGACATCCCCACACTGACAAAGGATGGTTTAATCTCCATCGTGAATAAAATAAAGTTAAATATAACGAATGAAGGTTATTGGGACAAGCAAATAACATCGGATTTGACGAAAATCACCTCAAACGATTCTTTGTTTGACGCTGTGCTGCCAATATACAAGCGATTTTGCAATAAACGAAACCAAGACAAGTTCCTCACAGAATTCTATGAGCTTATTCCCACATCATCTGCCCTTTTCAAGTGTGCAAATCAGCCATTATGTAGCCTTGTAATGATCTCCATGACAGACCATTTAGTGGCCTTATTTAAGTCTGACCATAATAGTGAGCAAATAACTTCAGGTTCAAGTAACAAGTCTCTGGATCTAAGTGAACATGAACGTGGACCCTTGTCCTACATTGCTGGGTACATATTAGCAAAATTGCAAAAGCAGTGTTCCAGTAAACCTAATGACGAGCTCCAGACTTTACTTCAAAATATGAAATGCCCTGGTATTGAGAACACCTATATTGATGCTCGCAGCAGGGGTGGACTTGTGACACCATGCAAGGACTTGGTGGAAATTGTAGAAATTTTTGAGGTAATATTTCGACAATTTGTCACCAAGCAAAAAGACTTACTGCAGAAAATTCCTTGTGATTCCTTATGCAATGATGCACTTGAATCACCATTGCTCAAGTCATTGTGGGAAAACATTTTGCAGGAATGCAACCAAGATTTGTCGAAACAAACTACCAAGCTTTACCTGGAAAACATTATAAAACTTTATTTAAAGGTCCGCAGCTTTTCATATGCAAAAGACTATATTAGCAAATTTAAAATCAAACAAAAAGCAGCAAAGAGCAAAGGACTGCGAAAAGAACTAAAAAGGCAGAATTAATTAGCATTTTATAAAAACACTTTTAAATCATGTACATATAGTTATTGTTTAAATAAGGGTATTTTGTAAAGGGCTAAAGGATTGATTTCAAGTCTCTGAATAAAGTGTTCTAATCGAAGCTGTTTAATCAGAGAGTGCTTTATTGCCCAAAATATTGAATAACATATTAACCCATTGAGCTGCAATGCATCCTACTTCAGAGATATGAAAAGCTAATTTCAATCTTTCAAGACAGAAATTAGCATCCTATACACCCTTTTCATAAATGGCTGCCGATTAAAAATTATTTTATGTGCATATAAATTGGCCCAACTAGCCTCGTACTCATATTAAGATTTCAAAGGAATTTCTACCCAGAAACGAGGCTAGTTGGGCCAATTTATATGCACATAATTTTTAATCGTCAGCCATTTATGAAAAGGATGTATTTATCTTATTTTACTTGTCTAATGTCATGAGAAAGCTTTGTTGCTTAATGGGTAAATATCACTACCGTACCACTATATACTTATTAATTCCTTGATTTACCCTCAACAACATTGAGCTTCTAACCTTACAATCATACATTGTGGACCACAAGTGACATTGTGAACCACAAGTGACATTGTGAACCATGAGTGTGTGCTGTATCAAAATTCAAAATACTTATATATATTTACATCCTAGGCCAAACAATATAAATGACATCATTATCAAAGGGTCTATTTTTGAAATGTTACTGTTTGAAATAAATTATTTCTTTTTTTTTTAACCCTCTTCTTCACTGGCTCCTCACTAACACTAAACCACTTTTGCTTCCCATATCTTCCTCCCACGTTGCCACTCACTGATGGAGCAATGTTTCTCTGTGCAGCAATAGTTAAGTCATTATAACCAAACTGCTGTGCAGAAGGATTATCTGACCGGCCTCGCACTGTTCTTTGATGGCCAAAGTAGTCTTCAACTACATCTTGCATAAAACGCTCTGAAAGGACATATGAGAATCCTTCAGAGAGGAGAAACTTAATGGCTTCGATGTGGGAATGACCTGTTATTTTGAAGCCTTCATAGGTCTGGCGGGATAGGAACATCTTTTCCCTTTGTGTTGCGGTGTATGGATGATCACTTCTTTTGGCAACACTTGATCGCCAGTCTTCAAGGTACTTTAGGAAAGTATCTTTTGTCCAAACAAGCCTCTGGTCATCAGGACTTTCATAGGGCTTGATCCGGTCATTCCTCTTTCTTTCAGACTCAGTCAATGATCTGACATTTGAACAATCAAAAAAATCATTGATCATTTGGCAGAACATTGCAGTGCCAACAACACTTGGGTCTTCACTCTCAAGCAAACAAGTAGCAACAGTTCTACTTAGGACTTGAACAGCTAGTTTTACCTAAACAACAATAATATTAATCATATTGCACAATTTTTTTAATTAACCCATTAAGCGCCTGCGCTCTTGGCGTCTGGCGTTAGACAAAGTAAAATACTAAAGTAGGGTGCATCAGGATGCATCGCCACTCAATGGGTTAACTGGACACATGGTCAGATAGGCCAGTTAACCCATTAAGCTCCAGCGCTCTTCCCTTGACGAGTAAAATCGTCTGGCGTTAGACAGAGTAAAATCGTCTGGCGTTAGACAGAGTAATATACTAAAGTAGGGTGCATCACCACTCAATGGGTTAAAGGTCATCTGCATTCGCTAATCAAAAATAGCAATCATCAGACAACAGCCTGTTAAGAAAGATAAAGAAATTAACAGCCAAAACCCTAAAAACAATTTACAGACATGCATTAGATCTTCTCATATATTGCACATTGCCCCAACAGTAGTGTTTTCATTCGGTTATATCTTCATATCTTATGTTTGAGAAACGTGGTACAAAAACATGAGGATATAAGCCATACACTTGAAAACACTGGGAATGAGACAACTGATAGATAGATGGATATTAGATAGATAGATAGATAGGTATAATTTTATTTCAACAGGGTAGCCTGTTCAGTGTAGTAACACTGCATGGTATCAATAGAGCCCTGTGTCACTGGAGCAAAGTTGCAAGAAAAAATAAAGAACAGTAATGGTCAGTTACACTAAATTAGTCTAATACTAAAATAAAACAGAGTTTGTACCTTCATCTTGGAGTAGCCAGTCAACAGAACATGATCCAGTGTAAGTTTTGGTAATTGGTGCAAAGCATACTGCTGATCATGGTGAAACAGGTCTGCAATGTGCCGAAACAATAGATACTGACCATCATTCCACATGTACCGACTACACAATCCTGACCCAGAGTTATAGAGGCAGTTTCTGGCAGTTTTGATCAAATGAGGCACATCTGCAAAGAAATAGATCATCCGAGCCAGGAAGAAGAGGTTGGGTGTCTTGTAAACAAGACCATCTGGTAGTGTGCCGCCAAGCTTTGAGTGGAGTGCAAAGAGTTTCCGGTTAGGGGAAGCACCGTCATTAACAGCTGCTATTACCCATAATTTTACTGTTGTTTCAAGCACTCCAACTACTTTCCAAAACAATGGAAACAACTGAAATGATGTCACATTGCCAGTAAAATAATAGGCAACAACATGCTTCAAATTAGTGCAAAGCTCCCTAACCAAGAAAGCCAGTGCATGGGATGCAATAGGGGTTTCTTCATCTACATTGGCATAGGTCGTTAATGGATCCCCAAGATCAATGAAACCGATCAGTTCACCGGAGGTTTTGTCAAAAACAAGATTTTCCTGAATTTTCATCTCGTCCATGATGACTGCAACATACTTTTGGATCCCAGTAAATTTTGAAGTTTGCTCTTTCAATTCTTCAATGTTTTCTTTAATGATGCCAGCTCCAGGTTTAAAATAGTTCTTGTAATCTCGAAGAACACGCTCACTTGGTAATATTAGAGCTACACTGTCTCTAAGCTCCCGATATGCAGAAGGAGATTTGCAATGTATTGATAGTGTAAATCGTATCATTTGTGGATGATACCTACGGCCCATTTTCTTGGTTTTCAGGAGGTGAATTTGTTGTTCCCAGAAGAACTTCATGTGTGGGGTGGAATCTAGATTCTGTCCGCTCATGATGGTCATCAGATCCTTTTCAAGGGGCTCACTCACACTCACAGCACTCTTTTCTATTTTATCTTGCAGCTTTTTCATTTTATCTTCCAATTGTTTACACTCCAAACGCTTAGCTACCACTGTTGCTCTAAGTTTTTCTGAGCTACAGGCAGTCAATGGAGCTTTAGCTTTAGCAGGGGCACTAGAAGAACGACTCTTTCGATTTTGTTGCACCAAAATATTCTTTTGTAACTTCTTGCATGGATCACAAATCACTTGCTCTTCATCAACTTGTCTGCCGAGTAATAGCTGGCAATCTACACAACGAAAAACTACCAGAACTCCAAAATTTGAATCCATATCGACTCTGTTTGGAACAGAATGCCGCATAACATCAAAATTGCTGAAGGACGTATGGCTCGCGTCACCTGGATCTTTAGCAATAGATTGTACATGCTCATCTTGGTGTAATCCTTCGCAAATGAGATATTTTTCACCTCTGATAGCTTCCAAAAAGTCAACAACTCTAGCAGAGTCCATTCGTCGTCGGTGCGTAGTGTATAAAGGATGGATATCAGGTAGCAGCCAATTGTAAACATGTAGCGAAAACTGCAAGCCCGAATCAACATGTAGAATGTATCTTGGAATCGAGTAACTGGAATCCCAAAGTTCTATTCTAATCTCTGTGTTGTTGCACGTTGTGATGACCCATGGATCTGGTATCTTTTCTTTTATCTTACTGGCAAACTCTTCCAGGCTTTCATCGGAAATTAAATCTGCACTTGTCATCTCAACAGGTGGCGAACCTTCTGATGTCGAGCAAGCTTCCACGGTATTCTGTCGCACAAGAGGCTGTCGTGTTTTTGGCTTCGACTCATGACTTTTTAACGGGAGGTTTTCCGTAGGAACAGCACCAGTTGCTAAGGACTTTCTTTTCGCATCAGAAAAAGAATTGAAAGTAAACTATAAACAGTTTGCACAATGTTTATCCTACAGTTAATAACAACTGATATTTGAATACATGTAAATGATATACGAAGTGTCTAATTACCATAAATTTGCGCAAAATTGAGAGGTCAATACTTACGTTGAAATATCACTTCAGGTTTAAAACGGTGTTCACACAAAAAGATAGTGTTTTTTTTCAATCTTCGTCTTCAGCTGTGGTGTCATTTCCCTTGTCCTACGAATTACTCGAAGCCATTCTTTACGCGCATCCGTCTTTAATTTCACTGTGACCTCGGAGTCACCTTGCCCAGCAAAAGGCAATTTAAATAGTGAAAGATCACTCTTTCGACTAGTTGAGCACCCCACTAAAGCACAGTTGGCACCTGGCATTGTGTGCCAACTGTAAAACTCTGAAAATTAGCGACCCAGTGAGTATAACGTTGCAGTTTTCGAACAGAAATATGTTGCGGCAATACAAAGCTCTATTGTTTTTGACTTGTGATTTAACACCCCATGCACTAAAAAGATCACGTGACCCAAATAACTGAGAACAATAATATAATTGGGGGCGTGTCCGGCTAGCCAAACCATCTTATTTTATTAACTGTGGGATAACGAACAAAATGAACTGGATACTTAGATTTTTCTAACTATATTTTGAAATGTTCGAAAGAATATTTTTAAACATTTTTCGTTCCCATGATGATCATAAAAGAACACTTACAGGAACAAATGTATGAGAATCATGCAATTTACATTTGTAATGCATTTGTATTGTTACAAAATTTCTTTCATTTCATACTTATAATTATAATTATAGCTAAAGCAATTAACACTGTACATTAAGCTGTCACACTAATTTTAAGGCTTCAAGCCCTCTTTCTTAAAGTATTTGGAACACGACATGCATTAAAATTATATTCCGGATGACATAATATCATTGACCAACGTAAACTAAATTTTCCAATGCCCAATCGTATACATTTGTCTTCTTCAGATGTAAAGCAACACCTGAACACTGTTTTGCTAATTCGTGGGTCGTAGTGGTTGCAATGTCTTGGCACACATGCTCTTGCTCAAATGACTGCTGTTGCTTTTTGTATTCGATCTGTGAACTATTACTTCTGTCAAGTAATTTTTGCATGCACTGGCATCCTCTCAATGCTACTTCCCGAGATCTTTTCTTTTGATAGTGAACACAGACAACGTCAGAGCTATGTTTTTGGTCTTCAGATATCTATTTCTGTTCATTTGGCAAGAGAATGTGTACACTTTCCGTCTCGATGATCTGTCTGTATCTAGTTGGGTGAATGTATTTTCCGATAGCTTTGAACACCAACACACTGAAAAGATCTGTAAGTTTCTGAAATTGTTTACCATTTCGAATGGGTCTTATGTACGTTATATATTTCTCCAACAACTCGATGCTGCATTTGTCAAAGTATACACTATCAAAGCTGTACCTTTTAGCCGTCTTGGATATTTTCTGATCAACCATTCCTTCATTCTTTTTTGCACTTTCAAACATTCACAAAGTTAGATGCTGGTAGGTCATTGGACGACAACCTTTCACTTTCAGGAACATATAAGCTGCAACGAATTGGGTGGCAAACGTCACATCGCCGGTTTTGACTGAAGGAGATACAATACAATTTTCTAACACAGATTTATAACGTTCCTCATGAAATGGAATTACAGATTGTACTTCGGAAAGGGTTGCCCAACTTCTACATGATCCCAGGGTCTCTATGTCTAATTCAGTTGTCCAATTTGATCTCATGTCCTTTGCTAAACACTTTCTTGCTCTTTTCACATACACCTCGGTAACCTGAAGTTCAGGCCCTAATTTGAAATAGGGCCCGACACAAAACCTGTCTAGACCGTGGGACGCCCACATGTTATTTTTAGACACAACATGCAATATGATTGACAAGTGTTGTAGATTTCATTACACAAAAAATTTATATTCTCATGAACATGTCCGCAGAGTGTGCATTTTGCTTTTTAATTAAACTTAAAAATTCAAGGTACTTTTATATAACTAAGAGTCAGTTTCTCTATTTAACCGAACAGCAAACAAAGATTTAATTAGTCAGTTCTGTGCACGGCTTGACTGCCAAGCTTTCTCAAGGTCTCAACTTGCTGGACGTGGATCGTACCACGAAGAAGGCGATGTAGCTCAGAAAACAACGCCGGTAGGACCTGATATTAAAAATAAGACTTTTGCCGGCAAAGCCAGTTGGCAGAACATCTTGGCTGTCAACAACAAGCTTTCGAATACATGACTAGTTTGGCTGTTCTTTCAGCGTCGTGTGTCCAAAATTTGTCAAAGATTTTGATAAAGCCCTCTCCGAATACTGTTTGTTTGATTTATTTTCTGCCATAAAGCATAAAAGAAAAGAAATTCGAAGAAATGGGTAATGTGCATTTGACCTTTATATTAATTGTCGCCCTTGACCGAGCTATTTTTAAAACTGTTTATGTGAACTTGCAACCAATCAAAATCCTTCATGATTCTGATCAACCAATCAGATTTCCCGTCCATCAGGTGGACGGGAATCCCACTGTTTGGATAGGTTTTGTGTCAGGCCCTATTCTGTGATTAGGGCCTGAACTTCAGGTTAACACCTCGGTAACGGCAAAGTTTTGAAGCACTGATGCAGGGGGACGATTAAATTTGCAAAAATCCAGTAAGTCTGAAATACTTGCCACATAAGAAATTTGTGCTGATTGTCCAAGACCCCACTTTTCTTTTAGACTGTCCACGAACTTTGTTAACAGTTGTGGAGACCCCAAGGAGTAATTGATCAAATTAGGAGAATTTAGCATGTCTTCTTCGCCAACAAAACTTTATAAACTTTAACGCTCTGCTAACTGAAATGTCTGATTGTTTGAGAGATTTACCGCCGCTGCAGTTGCTTTGAAGCCACTTGGAAAACAAGCGAGCGAAGTGATGATCTGTAGAACAGCCAGGAACTGTTTTACACCCTTTTGGCTGTGTTTCTGGGCTTGCAAACGGCGAAAAGCACACGTTGGGCTTTTCATCAAAATAGTAATACTAACCATACTTTGTTTTAACATGCTTACAACAGCCTCTTCGACTTTGAAATGCTGAATGTTCACATCCTCTTACTGGGCAATGGTCTAACCCATCGGTGCCTTTAGCTAAATGCAATCACCTTGGCTTTGTAAACACGCCACCTACAGACTTCCAGTCTATTTGAGCTTTTCTACGTGCAAACATATAAAACTAGCAAATGCTACGCAAGTAAAATTAGCTTGGTCTTTTATAGTAAACACTTTGTGTGCACAATGCATTAATAATATTTGCTTATGTAAAATTTATTGTTAATTAATATGCTTCGTTAAGAAGGGAACAATAAGAGGGAACAAGAAAAGGGAACAATAAAGGGGAACAACAAAAAGGAACAAATAGTTCTGCTTCAAAAGCTATATTTGTTTAAGGATTTGCTGCGCAGAACATTTTGTTCCCAAATAAGGAACAACAATTAATATTGTTCCTCATTCAAACCGTTCTGATTTTCAGAACTTAAGTGAAGCGGAACAATTAAGGTCAACTAGGAACAACTTGTTCCCTTTGAATTGCTGTTCCTTTTCAAATAGGAATGGCATACTTCATTTACATGTGTTCCTAACATGCTGTTTTAATACATGCATACATCATAGGAAACCACTTATACTTTGTCCTATCACACATTTCGTAATTCAATTTAATTTCCCGCAAGATTTAACATCTGCATAATCTTGTGGTTTAACCCAATCGAAATGATATGTGCAGGAAAATGTAAATCATGCAAAATTGCTGCTGTCATGACATTGTAAAGGGAACAACATTTAGGGATACGCATCATCACCATAATTACCACCAATGCTGTCCTCGCTTTTATCATCAGCATTACCACCATCACGCTCATTCTCATCATTATAACCATTACTTCCATCACCACCATTGTCATCACCATTACCACCATCACTCTCATTCTCATGATTATAACCATTACTTCCATCACCACCATTGTCATCACCATTATTACCATTGCCATTATCACCACAGTCACCACCATCATCATTACCATTACCATTGTAACCATCACTGTCATCACCACTTCCATCATCAAGATTGATATAATTGTCATTGCTATCATTAATGCCCGAATGTCAATGCCTCCATAACTAGTACTGACTGCTATTATCAAGAGCAGAATAACTGCTCATTTCTCCTCGGGCTGTGTCAGAGTTAGCCACATTACCAGAGTTTGTCATTGTGTGATATGGGTGGGTTAGGAAGTGCTTATGTACAGTCCGTCTGTCCCGCAATTGGCCAGAGCATAACCGACAGTTACATACTTGTTTATTATAATTTGGGGATTCTATAATTGCAAAAAGTAAAATATATTAAATATTTAATGAGGAACTGGTCATGGAATTTTTAAAAGTTTCATATGGCTTACTAGCACAAACATAGACAGGGATGTGGAGAAAGCTTGTCAAACTTTGGACTGGAGTGACCAAAGCCGTATGCAGGATTTTTTCACCAGGGGGCAGCAAGGCCTATATGCCAAAGTCCCGAATATCCACAAAAGAATTAATAATGGCATTCTAAAAATCGTAAATATAGTTTTCTCTAGGAGGGCCCTGTATGGCCCTGGATGTGACTATCAGAAATAACACTTCCAGAGTCTTCTGAAAATTGAAATAAAAATTTGAAATCAGATTTTAGTATATATCTATACAATAATTTATACACACCTGATACATATCTATTGGGATTCTGAGTTTTTTTATAACAAATTCAAGTTCATTGTTTTATATATATATTCTCATAGCAATCTTATATATTTTCAAAGTAATCTTATATATTCTCAAAGCAATCTTTTATATCTTTTATTGTTCTTGAAAGTCTCTTGAAAGTCTCTCTAGTAAACAATATTTTACATTTTTATGGGCACTGGAATGTCCAAGCGGAATCTCCAGAGTTTTAGAGCACAACCAGAGAATCTTAAAAAAATTCCATTTGCGCAGCGGTGCCACGAAATCACAAAACCAATCATATTTTGTGACTGCGTGACATGAAAATAAGATCCAGCGGCGTAATATTTTCCCGCTTATTTTTAACTGTTCTGTGTTTGCTTCACTTGACTGCATCCATTGTACATCTTGAATACATATTTGTACAATTATACTGATCTCCGTCTATATTGGTCATATATTTCCTGAAGCACAGTTTAAATTTTGCCATAATGGAATCTGTACAGGTAAATATAAGAATTTAATGATAATTTTAGTATTTAGCAAAATATTAAATGTGGAAGCGATGGTCAATATATTTGGAATATGAATTTCATTAGTAATTTTTGTCCATTGACAATTGCTTTTAAAATGAAGGTAGTACATGAATATTCATATATCTATTCAGAATATTAAATAATTTTACGCAAACTATTAGCAAAAAAGCAACATGCGAGAAGTCCTCATTGAGAGTTGCACTTCTGCCCCTGTGGTTTTGTATTATTATTTAAGTTGGCATCAAGTATATTTGCAGGAAAACGAAGCACAATCGTTTCTGACAAAAATCAGTCTTGAAAATTATGTTGAGCAATTGATGTAAAAAAAATAAGGTATTTATAGTGCCACACATGAGTTGTCGTCAATTTTATATTCTACACTTTTATATATTAATTTAAAATTGTATTTGTACATTGTCTGCATGATAAATGTCCTCCTTTGTGGCCAAATTGAGTGACGGAAAGTGTGGTTTCTCCTATTATTTTTCATGAATACAATACTTTATAATTTGTACAGTTTGAAACCATGCATATCTGATTTAAAGTTGCTGACCAATCTGGAAAGTGATAACATGTTTAAACATTTGGGCTTGCCTTTATGTATGATTCTCAAACTAAGGAGTGAACTACAAAAACTTCATTCTACCTCAGGTTTGTAATGTAAATTATTAAAATTATATTAAAATTGTCTGGCATTAGACAGAGTAAATACTAGAGTATGTACTCTAGAGTATTTACTTGTGTATCGCCTGTTAATGGGTTAAATAATACTCATGAATTCATATAGATGATCTTACAATTGAAGAACCAATGGCATGTGATGGTACAACAGTAGTTCCACATGAGATGCCAGTAGTTCCACAGGACTATGAGAATTATGAGATACCAAAAATGAAGTTGTTGGAGCTCCAGTCCGAAGGTTCACTAGTCCGAAGGTTCACTAGTCTGAAGGTTCCCTAGTCCAAAACATACGCTGGTTTCGAATTGCAATTACGTGTTAGACTTGGCTGCTTCACAGTTAAGCATTTTTCGTACCTCTGCATACACACATGGAAAAATTTAAGTCCACTTGAAAGTCTCTTGTTCAGAAATAATTAAACGAATAAAAGGATAGCATTTAGTTTTGTGTTTGATTTAAATGTATTTTTTTAAAGTAATTATTATACTTATATCGGTATAAAATTGAGAAATATTTAAAGTATGTGAAAAAATGCGCAACTTGAAAGCTGCCATATAGTCATTGGACGTTTGTCATCGATTTCATGAAGTTCACTTTCAAGATGCGGTTGTGAAGTTCGTTCCCAAGTTCCCAATTACGTTTCGAATTTCGGAAGTTGGGTGGGAACTTCACAGCGAACTTCTGAACTACAAAACGAACTTCTGAAGTTCAATCAACACATGGTATGAGATATGTAATGGCGTACGAGGAACTGAAGGATTTCTTAGGAAATATCGAACGAAAGATTGGAAAAGAAAGCTACAAGATAATAACAAACACATTAAGAGATAATTTTACGTCTCGGCTCTCATTAAAGCTGCTAGATCCGGAAAATTTAGACATTTTATTTGCCAAAAGTAAAGTGCCCCTGGGATCTTGAAAATTTTTTGACTACCACTGGGATTTGCTATGCAATGAATCGCCATTATCAAAGCCTAAACCACAGTGAACCGATCCTGCAGGTGAAGAAAGTTCAGCTGATCAAAGCCAAAGGTAAGACACTGTTTCACGCAAAATTCATGTAAATACAAATCAACGAGCTGGAAATTTGTTCTGTGTGTTTATGCTTCTTTCGCTGACGATTACAAGAATGCTTTCTTGATTTAGTTTTGTCAGTTGCTTGTCTTGGTCTGGGAAATTTTTATATTGTTTTTTCATTGCCATCAGCTTCAAAATAACATGTATTTTCGGGGTTGATATTCATATTCTCATCATTTCTGCCATTATCATGTTTACGTTGAGATTGAATGCATTTTGATTCTGTACATTGTCATTGTTGTCATTTATATACTGTTCGTATTCTTGAATTCCATGTAAGGCCACATCTCCGATGTCAATGTTGTCATTTGCCAACTAGTGTGATACTAAGTTTTGTCAATTCTATTTCGTCATTGGACTACGTCACTAAGACATGCACACGCATATCAAGAAATCAGTTGCCCACATGTTTTTCAAGCAAATAGTTGTTTATGCAAAAAAAAGCAGTGAATATTTGCATTTTTTACCAATAAAATCATGACTTCAGAAGACGAAATGGAATGTAGGTTACTGGATGATGACACTCCGGCAACAGACGAGACAGCAAAAGAAGAAACAATGCCGAAAATGCTATCAGGTTTGGGCAAAACCCTTGAAACCATATCAACTGCCATGCTCCACACAGAAAAATCCATGAAGAGATTACATTCGGATAAAACCTCTGACTCAGAGGGTAGACCAAATAAAACAAGACGCCTAGCTCCACAAAATGAAGTTGAAATAGACAGCAATGACAGTGATGCCAAAGGATTGCTTCAGAGTACAAAAGAACCCAATGCCAACTCGGCAAATGCAGGTAATACAAGCGAGGCACAAGTTCGACTTCAACATGACTCTCTCCTTGACAAAATCTCGCAGGATCTGGAACAACTAGAGGAGGTAGGAGGCAATATAAATCAGCAACTTGCTGACATTAACAAATGCTGGTCTTCAAAGGTTACAGAAGCAAAACAAAAAGAAAAAATGGACAATTACTCGAGACCAGGGAATTGTGAAAAAATTGCAGTCCCTCGTGTTAACGAGGAAATTTGGGGCAAGCTAGACAACAAAACCAAGCACAATGACCTCCGTGCTACTTCCACACAAAAGCTACTGGCTAAAGTGGATATAATACTTACTATCACTACAGATAGGCTATTGCAAATGCGTAATGCAGATCTGCCCGAGGTTGACTAGATCATCACGATGAACACAGATTGCTCTGGCCCTACTAGGGCACACAATGTGTGATTTATCTATGCGTTGATGCGACGCTATCAAGCCCAATCTACACAGAGATTACAGCAGCCTATGGGCCCCACATGTGCTAATTACATCATATTTGTTTGGCGATAACCTACGAACACAGCTCAATGACATTAGAGCTTCAAATAAAATTAGAAAATCAACAGTCTCTCAGCACTATGAAAACCCAGAAAAATCACTTTTGATGCAGTAATAATAATAATAATAAGTGATAGTGATGTCGAGGTGGGTGGATGGATAAAAGTTTTGCAGCTTTGTAACTGACAAACTGCAGTGTGCCTCATTGGAACTTTGAAACAAAGTGATCACTTGCAAGCATGCTTTATCTATTATATTTATTTTCCTGGTTTTGATTGGTTAATCCTTTATCAAATTAAGTGGGTAGTATTCTTATTGGCTGTAAGAAATTTTTGTCATACACTGTGCATGTGCACAGATGCTGGATACGAAACGACCTTTGATATTTCAGACATGATATAGAACAGGTGACCTGTCACACCATGCTGCAGATTTTAGTAGTGTTACATTAATTGCCAATTGTCATACAGTGAGCATTGCCCCATTAACTTAAATTTATATATTTTTATATAAATTTAAGTTAATGGTTCAATTGCTCTTGGGGAAAAAACTGGTAAGAAGTTAAATCAAACACAAGTGATGCAAATTATTGTGTGGGAGAATGGGTTGTGGGGGTGAAGTACTCCGGTTTAACATATGGTAACTGTTATAAAACTGTGTAAATCCCAAAGACTCATTTAGGCCTTATGCTTTCCTCCTGTGAAGGGATCTATAAGCCCCACTAGGAGAGACTGAATGCCCTATAGGGGCATAATCCCCAATAGAGGCCTGCCAGAAGGGTAGCGACCCCCTCTAACATCAACCTGAACCAAGGGGTCATAACCCCCTAGGCCAGTTCCTACGATTCGACTGATTATATATACATTAAGTTAACCTGAGTCTATGGGCCTGAAGGTGATCATTGGGAGCACTTCATCCCCGCACGAATAAATTCAGCAAAACACCAGTGCTATATTTTATAATACAGAGTTTATTAATGGCCTTGGAATTAAGGTTTTTGTTCGGTGAAGTAGGATAACAGTGTCCTCCGGTGTTCGTATCATTTATATAGGATACAATATGTTGTGACGTAGGTGCTTCCAGGGTTCTCTTTCGTACCAGTGCATATCATCTGTCTCGTCGAGGTGGGTGGGTGGGTAAACGTCTCGCAGCTTTGTAACTGACAAACTGCAGTGTGCCTCGTTGGAACTTTGAAACAAAGTGATCACTTGCAAGTATGCTTAATCTATTATATTTATTTTCCTGGTTTTGATTGGTTAATCCTTTATCGAATTAAGCGGGTAGTATTCTTATTGGCTGTAAGAAATTTTTGTCATACAATGTGTACGTGCACAGATGCTGGATGCGAAATGACCTTTGATATTTCAGACATGATATAGAACAGGTGACCTGTCACACCATGCCGCATATTTTAGTAGTGTTACATTGAATTGCCAATTGTCATACAATGAGCATTGCCCATTAATTAACTTAAATTTATATTTTTTATATAAATTGGCTTTAGACTTTAATTAATAGAAAAATCTATGTGATGCACTCGGTTACAAAATAAGCACCTATATAGCAGGTAAATTTAAAATTAAATGAACAGGTATGCTGGTAATTTTACTCTAAACGTACAATTGCTGCATAGTTTTTCTTTGAATATCTCGTCATGAATTCAGAAAAACTGGCTAGAAGCACTATACAGTTATTGTTTGCCGGGTATTATAATGTTACCACATTACTATTTTTAGACTTTTAGGGTTAGGTTAGGGCTCAACATGTGTCGCGATTCGCGAATTTATAGTCATATTGATAAATTCGGACGTGTTTAACAATTTACTCATTTATTTGTGATGTTACCCTGAGTGTGCATCCACACCGGGCAGGCTTGAAAAATATGCCCGGCCACGGTGGGATTCGAACCTACGACTTTTGGAATACTAGCCCAATGCTCTTCCAACTGAGCTACGCGGTCAGGACGGTTCGAGTAAGTGATATTTCGGAACACAATCTAGTTCCTTCGATACCAATATAATCTAGTAATATGATTTTTCTGTGTTGGTGTTGTGTACTCAGGTGAATATGATATTTGTGAATGTTACTCTGAGTGTATATCCACACCGGGCGAGCTTGAAAAATATGCCCGGCCACGGTGGGATTCGAACCTACGACCTTTGGAATACTAGCCCAATGCTCTTCCAACTGAACTACGCGGTCAGGAGGGTTCGAGTAAGTGATATTTCGGAACAGAATCTAGTTCCTTCGATACCAATGTATTCTAGTAATATGATTTTTTCTGTGTTGATGTTGTGTACTCAGATGAATATGATATTTGTGATGTTACTCTGAGTGCATATCCGCACCGGGCGAGCTTGAAAAATATGCCCGGCCACGGTGGGATTCGAACCTACGACCTTTGGAATACAGTAGCCCAATGCTCTTCCAACTGAGCTACGCGGTCAGGACGGTTCGAGTAAGTGATATTTCGAAACAGAATCTAGTTCCTTCGATACCAATGTATTCTAGTAATATGATTTTTTCTGTGTTGGTGTTGTGTACTCAGGTGAATATGATATTTGTGATGTTACTCTGAGTGTATATCCACACCGGGCGAGCTTGAAAAATATGCCCGGCCATGGTGGGATTCGAACCTACGACCTTTGGAATACTAGCCCAATGCTCTTCCAACTGAGCTACGCGGTCAGGACGGTTCGAGTAAGTGATATTTCGGAACAGAATCTAGTTCCTTCGATACCAATGTAATCTAGTAATATGATTTTTTCTGTGTTGATGTTGTGTACTCAGGTGAATATGATATTTGTGATGTTACTCTGAGTGTATATCCACACCGGGCGAGCTTGAAAAATATGCCCGGCCACGGTGGGATTCGAACCTACGACCTTTGGAATACTAGCCCATTAAATACTAGCATGGTATTTGTTCCCATTAAATACTAGCATGGGATTCGTAGGTTCGAATCCCACCGTGGCCGGGCATATTTTTCAAGCTCGCCCGGTGTGGATATACACTCAGAGTAACATCACAAATATCATATTCACCTGAGTACACAACACCAACACAGAAAACATTCTTGACGTATTGTTTTGACGGCATTTTTTTGGGAAATATCAGCTGTGGATACAATTTTTCAGTATCCCTCAGGATACCGAGCTTGTGATTTCCAGTATCCAACTTTAAAATCTGGTATTGCCGGGATATTGGGATACCACAAATTTGAAGCCCTGACTCGATTAATTTTTTAAACAAATGTTTCTCACTTACATGGAGTTGAGTCCAACAGCAGCTACAACATTCAATAGCGGAATGACGTAGAAAACGAAGCGTAGTTCTTTATGTGGCAAAAACGAAAAGAGAAGGACAAATGCTATTGCCATTGTAAATATCACTCTGGTTCTTTTGTCGTACTTCATACCATAACCAATTAGAAATGGTGTAAAGAGTGAGATGGCTCGAGGTAAGGCTGAGTAAAAATACCACAAAAATGGAGATGTCTGTAAAAATCCATTATGGAAAATAATTTCTTGTAAGACTGTTAATTTAAACAATTATACTCATTAACCCTTCAAGTGGCAATGCACCCTGACGTGCCCTACTTTACTCTGTCTAATGCCAGACGATTTTACTGATCAAGTGGAGATCGAGTGCTGCCACTCAATGGGTTAAATTATCCTTGTGTTAACCTTGTATACAAAACAAATTATCATGATTCTGTTGCCCTAAATTTTTAACCTCCACCTCACTGCTACTGCCTTCCTGATTAAACTAGCTCATGCTCATTGACTGAGTGTGACCAGGGCTTGAAATTTGGAATCTTTAGCCCAATGGGATACGTGCGAAACTAGAGATCTGGTATCCACGACAAAATCTGTATCATCACATTTGGCAAGTAATATTCAAACTTTGAAACAACTGGTAAATTGTAATGAATTTGATGAAATAATGAATCTAAGATATGTTTATCAAGGATTCATGTACTGTACAACAGAAAAGTACACTATCTGTGGAGGAGAGAAACTTGTTTTCTGTATCCCAATGGATACTGAGCTTGTGATTTCCAGTATCCAAACTTAACATCTGGTATCCCTTGGATATCGGGATACTGCAAACTTCAAGCCCTGTTGATTACGACTAGCTAATAACTTCCATGTCATTCATTCTATCTCTTCTGTATGCTTCTATTTTTCCATTCACCTTCCATTTTTCTATTCTGTATTTTTCTTGCGCTTCTATATTATCTCATCTATAGTGGTAAGCACCATGCATGGGGGCCTAAGTCTTGTTTGTGTTTCGCCAGGTTATCCACCTTCAATAGTTACTATTCTCCATATTCTTGTACATTGTAATTATTTATTGTAAGTTATGTACAATATTGTCAAGTTATCTACGTGTCAAGTTATCTATGTGCCAGATTAAAGCTGTTAAATAAATAAATGTTTTCGGACAGATCAATTCAATCTACTATAAGTTAGGTAAATTAACAAGTTGAAAGGATACACCCCAATCTGAACTCTTGTTTTGTACCGTATTATACCAAAATACCTCCGCTTCAGGCCAGCACCATCTTTGCCAGAAATAGGAATCTATCACGACTGTCAATGCTAAATAAATAAACAATATAGTGTCAATCCCCTAATGTCCATGTCCACTACTGTTTTGAAGCACAAATCAAAACATTCAGCAACACATAAAATATATGGCTAACAAGTTGCTCTCACCCAGTGATGTGATGCCAGCACAAGCCGCATGAAGAAAGGCATTCAGAAGCGAGATTCTTGCATGATATAATTCAAACAATATGATCATTCCCATCAGCAATACCAGCTCTGCACGGAATATGATTATACTATATCCAGAACACCAAATAAAAGCTGCTAGGTTGCCAGAAAACCAGAAATAAAATGCTGATAGTGCTAGAAAATAGAAGATTGAAAAAATTCATACCCATATGCCACCCCTCTCAATATTTCAGGAGATATCCACTACTGCTCTCTGTACGCTATAAAGAACACTAATTCACATTGGCTTATTGCATTTTTAATCCACACCCCTCTATGGGGGACATCCATTTTTTGGACCCCCTCCCCTGGAATTCCGCAGATGTTGATGAATTTCCGTCCTACCCCCTGGAATTCTGCGATTTTTTACAAATTTCCAGCCTACCCCATGGAATTTCCACAGATTTTTAATGAATTTCTACTCATCCCTTGGAAATTCCACCGATGGTTTTGACCTAGTCTCTGGAATTTCCACATTTTTTGTTTAATAGGCAACCATGACCCTTGGAATTTCCATGTTGTTTTTTTAACCTACCCCGTGGAATTTCCACAGATTTTCTTTAAAATTTAGACCCTCCCTTGGAAATTCCTTCTTTTTTTGTTGAATTTTAGGAAGGGGGGTCTGGAAATTCCAGTATCCTCCATAGGGGGGTGTGATTTAAAATGCAATAAGCCATTTACTGTGATTAGCCTGCTCGTAGATGTTGTATTTCTCACACTTAAGTGCTTAAGCAACAAAAATTTGTCGCTTGGTGTGAGAAATACAAAACATACAACGTCTGCAAGCAGGCTATACTGTAATAGGTAAATTACCAAGCATTACCAAGTATCAGAGCAAAGATATTTGGCAGAGGTCTTGACATGTAAAACATCAGGTGAAATTGAGTCATCGTGATAATTGACAGAAAGTCTGCAACAGTTGGACCAAACTTTTGACAAACACCTCGACGGAATAGTCGGAAAGATGCTAAAGAACAAATGCCAAGTACTGCTCGCACTAAAATAAAAGACATGAAATATCAATTGAAATTTGCAGCAACAAAAGAGAGTGAATATGACTGAAGGGTTTTGTAGTGTTGCATGTGTTTTATTGCAGCCAGGGTGTTAGCCAGGATTTCAAAAGTGGCCGTCCAAAATAATTTTGTGGGCGTGGCAACATATTTTTGTGGGCGTGATCACATGTTTTTGGGCGTGGTCGCAATTTTCTGTTGTTGAGGAATTGTGATGTTTTATTTGTTGAACCTTTTTACTTTTAGTTTTAGATGCACATTGTACAGTATGGTATGATCACTTCCGTAACTGTAACATGGCGCTCGAGCGATAAAGGGATTGCTGTTTTTTAAAACAGCGGTTTCCCGTTATTCTCCTTGATACTTCATGCGAGAATCATCAAAATAGTTACAAAAACATGGCACGTTTTACAAAAATACGGCGCGAATTATTCAAGAAATATTACAAAGCTTGTAGGTTGCTATTTAAAGAAAATACTCCCTTAGGCCGTCCATTAAAATTTAGCCGTCCAAATTCAGAAGTGGCCGTCCATAGGATGGTCGGACGGCCACCTGGCTAACACCCTGATTGTAGCTACTTCTGGTTTAGACTACATGTGAGTATAGTCCCTCAGGGCTCAGGACCAAGGAGAGTCTGCCAAAAACACATCAACAAACAAAATATGTGTTGTGCATACAATGCAAAATTCCCATTGGTCAAATGGATATGCCTTGTCAATGAAATCTGATATGTAGTAATTATGCTATAAATAAATTCCAGACTTCAATGTTGATTTAACATACAAACAGGACAGGCTTATAAATGAACAGTAGGGGTGCACCGGATTTCAAATCCGGCCGGAATTCCAGCCGGATTTAACGAATTTTCCGGCATCCGGCTTCCGGTCGGATTTGGAGAAAATCCGGCCGGATTTAAATTTCTGTTTTCACCTTAAAAAGTTCACCAAGAATGGGATAAACCATCAATTTGGCAGCTTTAAAGTTTAAAAAAACACTTATATTATTATACAATATTAAGTTATTAACAAAAAGATGTTTAAAAAAGGTTTAAACACAATCAAAAATCTAAACTGACACTAACTAAAAATAGTAAAAAACATAAACCGTCATTTTGAATACTGATTTATCCCCAATTGTCCCCATTACCGGTTTATCTCAAATCCGGCCGGAATTCCGGAATTCCCCAATTTTTGTCCAAATCCGGTAAATCCGGTTCCGGCCGGATTTGAAAATTCCAAATCCGGTGCACCCCTAATGAACAGTTCCTTTTGGATGCTGGATTTAATTAGATATACCTAACTTATGCAAAGGCAAAGCCAACTTGACAAGAGCAAAAAGAGGATTCATTTTGTTTCTTGATGTGTTATATCAGCAGTCCCCCCTTTCCCCTTGCACACCCAGGAATTAAAATATATCAATATCAAATATTTATCAACATCATCATCATCAATCAAAAATCTGTTAAATTGTAGCAGATCACATGACCAGCTAATTAGGGTCTTTCGTCCACAAGAGGTAATGCATGAGTCAATTCCAGGAGTACATCACGGGGAACACACCCGGGAATTTGATTTGATTGGTTTATACCATAGTGCAAATGCCAGGGTGCGGGGACACAACTAGGAGACTAAAGCCGGTTTTCCACTTCAAGCGTACCGTACCGAAACGTATCAAAAACGTTTTTAAATTTCAAAATTTTGTGAATGTTGATTGGTTAGTACTTCCGTAGTACGCCAAAAAGTTGACTTGCTGCTTTTTATTTTGATATGCGAATACACCCGGAAGTATGTGGATTTATAAACCTCTTTTCAATCTGCGCATGCTCACCAATACATCTCGGTATGATACGGGCGAAGTGGAAAACTGGCTTAATGCACGGCCCTTGAGCAAGCTCAAAGTGGAAAATGCCCCACCCCGGGGACGATTTTAAGCATTTAATTAAACTTTTATTGGCATATCGTAGGCATAGTCATTTAACCCATTAAGCGCCAGTGCTCTCCCCTTGACGAGTAAAATTGTATGGCGTTAGACAGAGTAAAATACTCTGGCATTAGACAGAGTAAAATACTAAAGTAGGGTGCATCAGGGTGCAATGCAAGTCAATGGGTTAACTAGACACATGGGCAGATAGGCCAGTTAACCCATTAAGCGCCAGCGCTCTCCCCTTGACGAGTAAAATACTCTGGCATTAAACAGAGTAAAATACTGAAGTAGGGTGCATCAGGGTGCAATGCAACTCAATGGGTTAATAACATTATACTATTACTGTCGTTCCAATTGAAGTGTTGCTCAAATATTGATTCAATACATTACCTTGGGCTGACCAATTCATTTGATCAAGTTCCTCGAGATATTCATACACTTCCTGTGAAACAGCCAATTCCAAGTATTTGATCATTTCTGATCACTTCCTTTCTATTTATGATTGGTTAGTTGCACAAACAACAAAGGTGATTGGTGCATTCAAACTATTCAACAGGAAGTTTACAATTATACTAGGAAGTGTATGAATATCTCGAGGAACTTGATGAAATGAATTGGTCAGCCCGAGGTAATGTATTGAATCAATATTTGAGCAACACTTCAATTGGAACGACAGTAATTAAATATCAATATGTTGTACAATTCTCAACACAAATGCATATAACATAGCCTGTTAAATATTTTTCAGTGTAGCTTTTCATTATATTTTTCTTCCTTTCGGAGTCTTGGGGGTTAGATTTGGCAGATTCTCTTATTTTTTTAAATCAGACATTCTGTGGATAAAATCCTAATAGAATACCAGTGCAGCAATAAGTAAAGAACGATTTATCAAATTTACATGTTCCCTCGCGATCGATTGACTGACATTATGACGATCATAAAATCGGTATCAGGTATATTGTTGTATGAATAATCAGTATAATTTCCAATTGTGGCACAACCAACTTAAATAGACACTTAATTAGATAAATTTCAGACTCGATTGCACACTTAAATTCTCATCTTGCACATTTGGGAATCTGTCATACTCTGCAATATGTATTGCTCACACAATAAACACACATTGACTAATGCAAATGCAAATCAATGAGCTGATTGAAATAGACTGATTTTCCATACTGGGAAGTCAGGTTGTTGCGTCAAATATACTCAGCACACAAGAAGAAATCAGACCGAAAAGTTGATAAATTTTGTACAGATTTTGATAATTGCAAGAATTTTTAAGCAGGAAATTAATTTCCTCCAAAGCAAAAACTTTACAGCCTGGCAAGAATGTTCCTACACACGTTTGGCACACTAAAGCTAATTTGTATATAGAATAAACAATTTAGGTTTCATTGTATTTAATTATTTATGTTTATTTGACTGGTGTGCAAATATCAAACAACATTGGCTCCCATAAATATTCAGCATATAAAAAATAAACTTTCCACTATTGCATGTGGCTGGCCTGCATGGCCCACATGGGATCACTATATACAGTCAGAAAGATTATCATAGTAAATACTTACTTTATAACGCCATTGCTATTGAAACTTTCTTGTGGTAAATAGCTAACACAATTTTGCATCTTGAAAACCTACCAGAGAAATATCATTTGAGCTCTTTGTATTATTCGAATATGCAAGTGAATGCAACAAATCGAAAGTATGAAGCAACACTGTGCCAATCATAGAGATTATAAATAACACTATTATAATCAATGTTATTTATAATCTCTATGGTGCCAATGACATTCATTGGCTATTACAATTAATACACTCCCCTTCCCCCACGTCGAGGTCCTCAATTTCTAAAAAGGGTTATTATTAATATTTTCCAGACAGGTAATTGGGAAAAAAAGGAGAAAAATGCTATTTCCAGAGGGGTTAAAATGCAAAACTGCACTTCCAGAGGGGCTTCAAGTCTCTTCCAGAGGGGTCAATCTCTGGGTCAATTACAAAAAGTAGAAGTCCTCAACAGGAGGGGCGGGGGGGGGGGGTGATTTTAAATGTATTAAATAGCCCATTCGGGCAACATTCTTCACTGAATTTTGAAATATTTACAGGCCCAACCATGTATTCGTTTTACTTTAATACTGAAAATTTTCTTCACACATGTTTTCTTCCATGCAACAATTCCAAAAAACAGAAATTTATTGATTGCACCTGCGGTGCACCAAGTCAGCAGTACCATTGGTCAAATAATGACGTCATTAGTTATCATTGTATTTTTTATGTCAATTTATTTTTATCCAATTTGTTTACTTTTTCAAAACTATGATGTTTGTGATATTACTCTGAGTCTATATACTCTGGCCACAGTGACCAGGCCTATTTTTCAAGCTTGTGGATCACTCAGAGTAACATCACAAACATTATTTAGCATGTTGGCAACTTTTTCAAACTTGGGAAGCTAGGCTGTGTTGAAAAGTGAGCTGGAATAGAAAATTATTGTACAGGTTATATATTACAGTATCTCTGCAAATATTAAAACATTGTATGTAGAAACACAATTAACTACTGTAAAAACAACAGTAACACATTACAGGTGTATGTGCCACAGTATACCACGCAAATTTACATGTTCCATATCTTTTGTCAAATGCATATAACATAGCCTGTTAAATATTTTTTAGTGTAGCTTTTCATTATATTTTTCTTCCTTTCGGAGTCTTGGGGGTTAGATTTGGTAGATTCTCTTACTTTTTAAATCAGACATTCTGTGGATGTAAAATCCTAATAGAATACCAGTGCAGCAATAAGTAAAGAACGGTTTATCAAATTTACATGTTCCCTCGATTGACTGACATTATGACGATCATAAAATCGGTAGCAGGTAGATTGTTGTATGAATATAATCAGTAATTTCCTATTGTGGCACAACCAACTTAAATAGAAACTTAATTAGATAATTTCAGACTCGATTGTACACTTAAATTCCCATCTTGCACATTTGGGAATCTGTCATACTCTGAATATCTATTGCTCACACAATAAACACTATTACTATTCGGTGTTAGCTTACTATTC